GCGCTTATATACTATCACACCCTGTATAATGAATCCTTAAAACAACTGTATTTCGGTAATTACATCAACCCATTTAAGGGAACAAAAGATATCCCTTAAAGGATCGTTGCCGCACCCACTATTGAAAAAAATCGTCTAAATATCTGGAACGGATATCCTCATTACCTAAAAACAGGAATACAAGGCGTAAGGCGTAAGGGCAATATGCAAATTAGTTTACATTTGCTTTATTATAGCGGCATGTTGGTGGTCGTTGGTTCTGCCTGGGAGTAACTGGAGGCCAGGCGGGGGGACACGTATGTACCCGCTCACCTGTATAGATTTTACGGGATTGCCCTACGACGCTTAGCTATGTTAGCCTGTGTGACCTTGGCCGCATTTAGACATTGATCCAAATATTTGTTCTATAGAGTTCTCCATGAACCACAGTGCAAAATATGACATCAGAAAACAACTATAACAACAACATTTTTGAAGATACAGATGTTCATAATTGTAAAGATTTTAGATCAACTTTCGCTGTTATCCATATTATTTGTATAAAATAACATTCTGCTTTATTTATCCATATTGAATACCTCGTTATACTTCCACTGTTAATCATTGGCATATCCCACCTACCCCGAGTATCAAGATCTATTATAACGATTACTGGATATATCCTCCAGGTAAAATATAACACCATATCGCATATCTAACCAACCATCTTATATGCACGCTTCCTCACAACAAATTACACAGCATTATTGTATATTCTAAACAAATTTACTATATTATCATAGGTACCATACTCTCTTATTTCTCTCAACTTGAACGTGATAATTCTCAGATAACCCTGCGGTCCCTGAAACGCCCTCTGGCTAGGCTGTGTGGTGTTGGGTTGCAGTGTGATGTTATTAACCTAAATTCCTCCTATGAACACCACAACCCCGCCATACGTGCTACTAAAATGAATAATTTCTTTTGTCAACACTAACAACACTTACATTAAAGTACTTATTTAAACTATTTAAATCTACACCTTAAGTCTGGGCGTCACATAAACGTCTAGGCCCTGGAGGTGGGTAATATGGACTGTTACTTGGGAAACGATTTAATGCTACCAACACATTAAAAAACTCTATGTAAAAACAACAACAAATGTAAATTAGCGATGACCAGTCAGTACAATATCGATTTCCTAAAAGTTTTTTTTCTAATAAAGATTCACTTGATTATATATAAAATAAACAGCAATAAAAACGGTAGTGACCACAAAAAGTCACCCGGAAGACGCAGGCAACAAGAACTGGTTCCGGGGGCGCGACGAGCTCACCTGCCCCACAAGTGCATTACGCGCTGTCTATCTCAAGGACAACCAACCTTCGTAATTTTCAACATTCCAAGCGTAATTGAGGAAAAAATTACTCGACACTTAACATTATCTGGCACATACAGTAGGTGAGAGAACACTGCATATCATTATAAATTGTCATCATAATAAAAATAACACTAAAACAGAAATTTCGAGAAATAGATGTTAAAATCCCAACCCCGTTTTCTATACGTTAAAGTAAATGCCATATATTGAAAAAGTATGAACGGATTATTTTCAGTAAAGTTCTTTTGTTTACAAACCCCTACTGAAATTAATATATAAACGTTTATCAATCTTCTGCACAAATGCCTACGATGACAGGTTAGGTACAATTGCGAGAAAATTGTAGTAATGCAGAAACAGCATTACTAAGATAATAATAAGCATCTCATATTATATACAGTATCGAACTAATAAGTAAAAGTTATATAATTATCACAAAGACAGTCTAAAGAAGGCTAATGCACGAGTTACATGAATAAGGAAAGTAACTTACACTTTTTGTGTCTGGAGAGCAGGTAAATGTTGCCAACATGGTGAGTTGTTGCTGTGAGGCTGCCACAACACTTTGGTGGTACCTGGACTGGTCTGAACTACACATCGTCCGCTCATCAGCCTTTGTTTCACGAGAGGAAATTTAAGAATCGAGTTTCTTCGCTTCTAAACAATACGAGGACAGGTAAATACAGCCACCCATCTTGTTCTTGTGCTAAAGTTGAGTTTCTTGAAAGCTAAAGCTTACTTTAATGGGAGAGGATATAGTAACGGAATAAAGTAAATATTGAATGACGGTAAAATAACCCTTTACTGGACAGGTACCCACCAAGAGGATGAGATAACCAACTCGCTGCAAGACCCAGACTTCTTAGATGATCAGCATGTGTTCGGCTTCTTGCACCAGAGTACGGGTGTGTGTGTTTAAAAGGGGAGAGTAACAAGGTACTCTAATAAATGCTGTCACGTTTTCATAATGCACTACATTAGCCTCCTCCCTTAACATTCTATACCCAACACACCGCAGCCCGACCCACCAAATCTCTACCCACCCACGTCACGTTGCCCCTATATCACTGTACTGTACTGAGAACCCAACGCAACCCTGCCCACCAGCCGGGCTATTATACGCCTTACTAAACCACTTTAAAACAATATCGTGTTCCGTTTACCCTCTACTGGTCTGTAACACTTCGCTCACTACCCATGCCTTCATTGTCACAATACATTTTAGTCTCCACCATGTCTCCTGCCCGCCACAACAACTGCGTTCTTGACCTATGCATTAGTTTTCAAGTTAGTATTGTAATAAATGTTTTCTGGCGCTGCTTCAAGCAGTTGATACATTTATCAAGTATTAACTTAACCCTTCGGCTGCGGAGGGTTTTCCCTTGTTTAATATCGTCTGGCGGTAGCCAGAATAAAATGAGTGCTGGAGTCGCACCGAAAGGATAAAACCATACCCGCAGCTATTACCCACAAAATTTATTGATAAACCTTTAGTGATTAAAAACCTTTAGTCACCCTAATTTATGTAACAGTATAATCTAGTACATTCCACAAAGTAATAATAGAAGTTATAGTACTTCTATTTTCCTCTACTGTGAATGATTAAGGCTGTTTTTATATAACCAGTTAGTGCTAGAGATGAGATGTGGCGACACCTGGCAAAAAGATCTGCCAGCATGGCGTCAAGGTCGTGTGATACTCGTTGTTGAGTGTTGTCATCGCTCGCTCCCTGCTGGGGGTCTGACGTTCTGTAGTAATATAGACAGAATTCGTACAATTCATAATTTTCGCAATAGAAGATTGTAAGTTTTCAGTTCATCTCTTAATTTCTGAAGATTTTTTTTTTTTTTTGAAGTACACATTTTAATGCTGTTAACGAATTACGAAAACATACACTCCGAAAAATAACAAAATCTGCCACCAATATGAAAAAAAAAGCCTGACGCCCAGGGAGGTGGGCAACAAACCCTCATCAATTATTTTAATCACCACGTATTTTTGCGTGCGTAAGATAAAGGGGTAGGAACAATGAGGGTTTTGGCAACCCTTTTACCGGATGTCAGTAGTGCGCCAGCCTGCGTGAGAACGGTGGGAGCCTGGGCCAAGGGTGGGTGGGTGACGTTTGGTCTTTGCTATACCTGTACTAATCCATCCATTGTACAGGTGGCTAGAGCAACTGTCTGCCAAGCTATGATTGGTTGGAGTGAATGACATCATGTATATAACGTCAGAATTTTTTTTTGCAAGATCTCTCAAGATAACAGCAGGCAACCAAACTTTATTATGTAACCAAACTATGCAAGTTTGGGTATGGTAAGAATTGCTTGACTAGGTTAGATTTTTATTACTTTCCAAAGTCTGCTTTAGAAACGTCCTCTAGTTGGCTGTTTTATCTTTACAAGTCGTTAATAAAAGAGATGACCTTACTATTAATAATAAATGGAGAAAAAGTATACCGTATGAAACTGCAGCTGGGAGAAACTCTGATAAAACCGTGACCGTAAAGCGAGTGCCGAGGGTAGGCCAAGCAGCCTTCCTCTACCTTGACCTGGGGTATAGTCACTACAGAGTGTGCTGCTCACCCACCCACCTCACACACCTTATGGCATTATTAACCTGAACGAATGAACGCAACTTTCCCTGTTTCAATACAATACTGTTGCCGTGTGCATGGTCTGTTAAGTTCTTGTAGTGTAATAGATGACTCACGGTTGACTTATTAGGGATGGATTGCCTCACCCTTCAGTTTATTAAAGTAGGTATACACAGGCCCATAGGGGTGTCCAGTCACAGTTAAGTGTCCTTGGTATGTGTGTGTGTGTCACTATCAGGCATGAAACAGTGGACAGGACTTGGTGAGGTAGGCGGGCCCGGGTTCCCTCCACACAAGCACAAACATGATCACATCCTCCCTCGACACACTTCCTCAAGGGCATCTCAGCATCGATCTGCAACATGGGCCATCGTTGCGTTTTGCATTGGTAATTAGTTTGTAACTATGACATATAAGGAATACAATGCTCTCTAACTCACACATGAACTATCCAAGCAAACACTACTCTCCACAAAGGCAGCGTACGCACGAGCAGATGACTGCCTGGCAGGCTAGGCTTCTGAGCTCAACATGACGCAATATTGCACCATGGATGGCCCTCCAACCTTGACAGGCTTCGTCCCCCTAACCATCGTTTCCTCTTCTTTTTTTTTAACTTTCACTAATATAAGTTTCATTTGTTCCTGTTTTAACTCTACTGTCTCCACTGATTCCAACACTTGAGTTTCTTTGTTTTATGATTCGCTGTCTCTTTCGCTGATTCTGTTTCCCGCCACCAAGACCTACTCAGCTGATTTTCCTTCAGAGTTTACTGAAAGCAATAATAAACATTGACAGAATGGAGAAGCTGCATATACCATATACATTAAATATATAAATATAATAGTTCCCATGAAATAAAAACATCTGAACAAATCAAATACTTACATAATAGAGAATATACACTTACCTGTCCCTAAAAATGTATGAGAATCGTTAATATGATGAAGGAACACAAACATGCACACACAGGAACCACACAGCTACTTATTAACTACCCGTCACACACAAGCATAAACCCTGACATGCTTTGCCTAATATACTTACTCTTGTGTGGTACATGTGCGATATTTGTTTCCACTCCGGGTTTCCATGTAGTTAGCGTCTTCTCTAGAAATTAAAATAAAAATTCATAGGATGTTAAGAGTGTGTAGTTAGAAGAAACACCAGGTTCAGAAGTGTTGTGGAAGTGTTACTCCCTTGAATCATATCCGGTTCACTATACACATAAGAGGGCAGTTTTGTGGTTAATTGCTTAGTGTATTTACCACTATGTATAAGTCAAGATTTTTTAAAAGTAATGTACAGTTATATATTCCGTTTAATGGGTAATAACCTCATTTAAATTCGTTGTTACTCCAGCTCTCACGGTCTTCTCAAACTAAGGACTCGCGGACATTAACTGCTATTATTTTACAATGGCATATTTCTTATAGTAGACTATCATAGCTCATACAGGCGTATGTCCCTTGATGTGGCAGACACCATGTGTGTTTAATGAGTGTCTGCCACACCGAGATGAGGTGGGGTGAACGGGTTCCTTATAAATAAGTACAATATATATTTTACCTCATAATTTGATGATTGGTGAAACTAACTTTGGCTATTTCTAATAATGATCAGATATTTTAAATTGTATGTCAAACAGTTATAGATCCTCCAGTACGTGTGTAATTCTTCGATTTATCACAAATGGAATGGAATAACCTTCACCTCACTCAGTATGTAACGTGAACTGGATACAATTATTGTTAGAAGGAAACTATGTCAACACCACTTGAGATACGTACTACATGAGTTTGGCGTGAATTCATGTCATGACATAACGCAAGTGCAGTTGTTTTCCACACCTCCTGAACACAAGTAATAGTGGAGAAACTAAAGCTACTAGTGTCAAGATGCAGTATTAGAGGCAAAAGATGAAGAAGCTCATTAGCAAATAAATAATATCTTCAAAAAATAAGAAACAAGCTCAAACCTACAGTCACTTAGTAAAGTTTGTAAGACAAGATGCTTGATAAAGATAAAAGTATTCAAATAAGGTAAAACAACAACTCACTAATACGAATAAATAACTTACCTGACATGATGAAAACTCTAGTTCAAGATTTCATCTTATTCTTCGGTCTAGTTCACCCAACTGTTATCTAAAGTTTAGAATGTACAAAAAAAAAATCTCGAGCTGCCTGTCTGAATACACACTTGAGTGATTCTTTATTTACTTCTGCAACACGACTCTCCCGTCGTTTGCTGCCATTCATTCACACTGTTAGAACAAGTGTGTTCTTCTGTGGCGTTCCAATACCACAACACAGCCCAAAGGTGGCCATCCGATACGCTCTTGTAACTTCACACGAGTCACCATCATCCATCATTAATACTTCTAATTCCGCATTAAAAAGAAAGGGTGTAGACAGGTCCTTTCAGTCCGCCACTAAACACAACAGGCAATAATTAAAGTATAAATAGATTATATTTTGTACATATGCACACAGAACAAGGCTACTCTATCAGCAGTATTCCAGTGGCCTTCAGCTTATTTATTGTTTAACTACAGTGTTAAGAGTAAGCCCGTGACAACGACTACTAATACCCTGAATGTTTACTCAAGGCAGAGGGATGGGCCAGGCATTCTAACCCAACACAGTGCAGGTTAAGACAAAAGGCTACATCTGTGTTTTAGTTTTTGTGTAAACACCACAAACATAGGAACTTATCGATATAAAACCAAGAAACAATGAGGCAACGCGTAAACTTAATATTATTCGCTCGAGACACGGAATATGGGTAAACTCCATGTTCCCAAGCGGCTGACAACAAAGGAAAGAACATAAGTAAACTCTGTGATTCCTCTGTTGGCCTTTAAAGAACCAATGGGGATACCAGTGTAAAGGCAGTTTATTTACACACTTCTAGCAAGACTGGTCGAGCAGGTGAAGCGATGACATCACTACAGGTGCGGCCTGCCCCCACCCCACACACGCATTTCATAACCAAACATACAGTATAAACAATATGTCCGGTTATTCTCTCTCACACACCTTCGAGTCAGTCCTTATTATGTAAGTTGCAAAGACGAATGTATATGCGCGTGTGTGTGTTTTGCAGCGCGTCATGACGTCATCCCCAGTTGGTTGCCCATCCTCAGGGTCATCACACACACAATACTTGCATTACACAGATTGAACGATCTGTAAACTGTCATAAAACAATAAAAATTTCTCAGGGCAGGATAACTCCATTTATGAATGAAATCAATCGTGGGCAGATAAGCACCGGGGTCCAGATTCACACGTATTTTGTCCTCTCCTGGTACTAAAGGTGACAGTTTGATGGGTTCTTTTACCTCTCTGGTTACGAGGATAATTAAACGGCAGAACCGTAGAGCTTTCTTTACCTGGATCATTAGAGTGAGTATATAAGCCTAGTGTCAAGTATCTCTGGGTGGGACGGTCTGCGACACCAAATATTGCTGTTGTTTACGTAAATATGTTGACTAACAGGTCGTTGCCGCCTCAACATCGTGAACATACTACTACGTCACTCTTACCTCACATACACCGGCTGGCGCCAAATATCGAATGGACCGAATTCTTTTACAATATATGTTTTAGTGGATTAAGTAAATGCGCATCATCTGGCCATTTAGGATCTAACAGAAATATGACGATATTAATGGTACTGAGAGCATTGTTTATTAGTTTTTCCATCAAATATCTACCCGACATGATTGCCTTAGTCAAGTGAATCTTATTATGAAAATACTTGTAACAGAATTTATTTTTATTGAGTAATATTTAAATGGCAACCGAGTTTCTTGAAGGTTTCAGATATATTTATGACCATACACTGGGCTTCAATACAGCAAGTTCTCCAGTCAAAAATTTAGTCTAACCTGATGATCATTTTGACCGTATAGTAAGGTCCCCACTGAAGAATTTTTATCCACTGCCTATCATGGACATTTACTTTAAGTTACGGTATAATTTCCCTAAAAGCGGGGACGAGTGCCATACTTGTCCAGGGCGTCAGGGCTCATCGGGGAAGACAAGGTCAGAGTCAGGTGTCTACAGTGGTGACTGAGTAGCTTTACACTGTAGGTTACTTCATTATGTGGTAAGGGCGCCCCCCTTCTCCGCGTGTATACAACAATTTACAATTTACCCAGCGAGGGGGCTAGATTATTGGGCACCCCCTTGCATCTTGTGCAAGTGTGTGTGACAGGCAACCATGTGATGTAATAGGTCACAACCTCATCATATTGGCGTCTGTATGTTCAGCACAAGTCGGTAATATTGTGTGGGGATATTCTTGTTTAGCAGTCGCCATCATGCTTTTACCTACAGTACACAGTTTTTAGGGCCAGAAATATTTGTTTATTATTGGAATGGGAACACCTGTACGTGTCTTGTTCTGATAAAACACTATCAGGCGCAAGTATCTCAAATCTTATTTACGTATATATGAAAAAAAAATACAAGGAAAATTTAGCATTGGCTTAACAGTACAAAAGCATACGGCGATGAAAGATGTTTACATTTCATACAGTGACGCTGTGCAAAGCTATAAAACAGAAAAAGTACAAATCAGAGAAGGAATTTAGTGGGTACTGGGACTATGAGGAGAACGATTACTCACTGCTTGCTGGGAGACGGGCTGATCCTGGAGCGGAAGAGTATGCCAGTGCCCATCGGACACTTGCCATCAGCACATTGGGACCTTAGAGTGAAGGGCGACGGTCGTTGAGGCGTCCTCCGAATTGTTTGGTCAGCCAACTCGCTAGGCGAGCTCTCCAGGGATGTGTCAAGCTCTTCAGATGTGCCTGAGGTATCCATTCTGGGTGAATCTGATGAGTCCATCTTGAGATTCTTTCAGGATGGCGGAGGATTTACTCGAGCCACCAGATCAGCTGGGTGGTGTTGTCATCCGAGGAGGTATGGTGACAAGTGCTTTCTATATTTTCTTATTCATTGTTTTCTATTTATATAAAAAATATTAATGTGTGTTTCTGTAACTATTTTATGCATTCATTTGTTTTATAAGTGTAAAAAATAATACACGAGTTTGTCTACACTTTCTAATTTATTTGTTGTCTATTGTAAAGGAAAAGCAATAATGTACACAGCATTTTATCATCAGTTTCTGCCAAAATATTGCGACTCATTATAATCATCACAATCCTGATAACAGTATAATAATTTCGCATGCGTAGTTACGAAAATAATAAGCCAGCCTAGAAATTTAGATAGGAATTGGATGAACCATTTACTACAACTGCATTCGGAATACGTACAGTATTGTACGATAGGGAAGAATTGTCAACGAGTAATATAATTGCTAACAGGACAATTGCCAACTTATTAGAGTACTTTACATTTAAATATTAATGTGGAATTAATAAACCCACTGCCACAAAATTAAGGTTCAACACACTAACACTGATGTCAGAAGGACTTTCTCATGCAAGGTTACTGAGCCCGGGAAAGCACTTCCTGAATCCAGTGGCCAAGCGCAAACCCTAAACGGCTTTAAGTCTCTTCATGATTATTTGTCTGGTTGTCCTTTTCGACTATATTTGACTCCCTATACTCCAGTTCACCAATGTTGTTCTCACACGTGGGTAAAAGTTAATCAGCTTTTATTAATCTGTACTGGACAGTTTCTTGTTGCCTGACCATCTGACTGGAGTACCTTTTGACCCGACTTGGGCCTTTCTACCAGTTTGCAGTGGCAGATGCTGTGTACAGTTATAGGCCCTGCATGTTAAGAGAATCTGGTAAGAGTGAGTGCCATGGTGGCTTGAGTGAAAACCATTAAACTCCACTGACGGATCACATAATAAATCACGCCATACCTGATAACACTCAGGATCAGGTCATGTCTTTCTATAACATTAAACTACATTTACGCAAATATTAGGTCCTATCTAATATAGTTTTTAGTTTAATGTAAATTTTAGGGTTCTCGAATTAAAAAAATCACCCTGTAGACGGTTGGGCGTGGTATTGGTCATAATACAAGGGTGGACGTGGTGTTGGCATAATACAAGGGTGAGCGTGGTGGTGTTGGACATAATACAATGGTGGGCGTGGTGTTGGACACAATACAAGGGTGGGCGTGGTGTTGACATAATACAAGGGTGAGCGTGGTGGTGTTGGACATAATACAAGAGTGGGCGTGGTGTTGGACATTATGCAAGGGTGGGCGTGGTGTTGGACATTATACAAAGGTGGGCGTGGTGTTGGACATAATACATGGGTGGGAGTGGTGTGTTGGGCATGACAGGGGTTAGCGCGGTGTTAACGAAAATACATTAACTGAAATAATTAGAACAGATGATTATAATAACAATAACATTCTGCGGCTTCTCAATATAACCACTTCTCGAGAACAACGGTTGGACGGTGGAAATGGAAGGTAAAAAGATACTGGTATATTGTATATCATGTAACTTCCTGTGTACCGTAGCTGTATAAGCAGCTGAAGGGGGATTGTGAGCAAGTTCTGGCATTCTCCCTCTCGATAACCTAATTTAAATGAGTTATCAATCACTTTTAACACGCTATTGAACTATTGTTATATTTGTGATATATTTTATTCAACTCCTCTCGTTCACTTAACTATGAATGAATTGAAAGGAAAATTATCAAACACCATTAGCGTGTTTTTGTACAGTACTACATGCGATAAAAAATAATTTCTACTTATAATCACACCTATTCACCATTCTATCAAACCTTATAATGACTTAGACACCTCTACAAAGGCTTCAGGTTTATATAAATAATGATTCAGCCTGATTATCCTTCCAGGGGCGTAATGATCGATAAATTCAAACTTGGTAACAGCGGCAGTATACCCCCAGGAGTCCTGAAAGGCGTTTGGGAAGTGTTACTAACATAATAATATACACATTTACTAACATCCACTGCATATTATAGCTTCACTGTCACTGATCTTTAAATTCTTTGTTCACTGCATCGTTATATAATATTGCTAACCCACAACCGTTTTTCACTCAATTGACTTGTTAGGTTTATTTACTAATCAAACACTGTTTTCTGAGCACTTAACTTGCTGGCAGGCTTTAAAACTAGTTCTTATCAATATCTTTTCCATTAATATTCAATGGACTTATTTAACACTCGAAAATGTTTAAAACCAGAGAACTCTTTAACCGCCTCACTAACATGACTACTCACACATACTCCACCACAACCACGCTGGGTTTGAAGGCTACAACTTGAGGCGGCAGTGTTTATAGTCGCCCACCCGCTTGGCCTTGAAAAACCGCACACTCCTGCCATCTATGTTCCATACACCTAACTACGTATTAGCTACACAATTGAGCCTTCAGTGGCCTCTCATGGAATTATTCTATAACATTTTGCATTATCTAATTACATTTATTTACGTAGATACTGAGTTATTTACTTCCATAATTATCCAATTCACCATTAGTGGTTGTGGTAATTTGCGTATCTTTCACAGTTTTGTCCTGGGTTGAAGACCTGGCCGGGACAGACGTGTTATGCAGTGTTTACTCAGGGTTCTGCGGTTTCTTCTTGCAACTAATATTGGATATAATAAAGTTCATATCCCTTACTCCAAAGACAGTTTCTCGTGTTCTCCCACTGATACCTTCTTTAACCTGAGCTTATTTGTGACCTAAAGTAGAGCCCCATCACCAAAAAAAAAAAAAAAAAAAATGTTGCCGACATGATCTTAATGACCAACGAGCTTGTCATAGATCCATTACAGTATTTTCTTTCATTCAATTTGACATAATAATCATCGTATTTCTTATCATGTTCATCCACCAAAATAAACTGTTAATCAATCTTTCCAATTTGTTTCTACATTGATTTTATTTAGAGGTTATCAAATAAACAAGACATTTTATCTTCTTTGTTATATCTGAACTAAGTACTGTATCACAAAAACCAATGGAAACTCTGTCCTAAACTAATACAGTATGTGCAAAATCCCATCGTTCTTTAGAGGTTATTAGACCTCTAGATCTACCGTAACCCATGACAAATGTGGGAGGGATGCCGAGATACTAGATAAGAGAAAGATAATTAGAAATACCACATGTTTGGAGGACACAAGGCAAGTGTATTCTAAATACTGTATGAAGCAAATTTGTTAAAATACTATCAAGATAATATCTGGAAACATTCCTTACAAATACAGAAATTATTTCCCCAGTACAATTAGTTTTCAAAATCTTCCCAGAACAGCACACTGTACTGCGTGATAATACTAAACCACAAGTGTTTCAAACGGAAAGAATTCCAGCTGTTGGTCAAGTTTGCTCTTGAAGGAGATCACACTGTGCCGTCACAACATTCTGTCAGTGTTGTGACGGCACCGAGTGTGAGCTCTTTCAAGACCAGACTTGACCAACACTAGAGCAGGTTCAGATACATTCAGGAGCCAGTGCATGCCCAGCACTTGCCAACAGTGCATAACTGAGATGTAACCAACAGCCCAAGCGGCTAACGAGCCAATCAGTGGCGAAGAGGATTAAACTAAAAGTAAAAAAAAGGTAATAACAAGAAAGGCATAAGTACACATCTGTCACTGAAAGGTGAAATTCAATGACACTGTTTTAAGAGAGGGTTCAACACTACTAAAAAAATATGCACTACATAACATGGAGTAAAATTTTAGATAAGATGCAAAATTAGATACAGTACTGTAACCAACAAAGACCCTCCTTAATATTAAAAAAAATTGCATGGTATGTTTCCAGAGCCCCTGTAGGTGAGGCAGGTTGACATATCAGAGAGGAGACAGCAAACATGCTCTATCACCATCCATGAGCACCATTTGTACCGAGTACCAGTTACAGGTAGTTGAAAACCTAAAAACTGGGGTGTGTGTTGATTCTTAAAAATCCCTTTCCATCTCATAACAGTAATGTCTATTTTCAAGATTTACAACTGCAAGCAGGAAAAATTATAAAGACTATCAAATTGAAAATCATTTATTTACAGGAACAAAAATGTCAAAATAATACTTAGTTACTACTGTACACGTGAGACGAAACTGATGACATGCACAAAAGTCTGGCAATTTAAACATAAAAATACAATGCAGACGGATATTCATACACAACACACACTGATGAATTAATTAAACAAATTATTTTATAAAACATGGAGGCACAAAATAAAGATGTTTTTAATCACATTAACAGTATTGGTTGTGATCTAACGAATGTACAGTACACTAATACTAAGAAAGCCTAGTTTGAGTAGACATTACTGCACTGTACTGTACTGTAAGTCATTATCACAAAGTAAAAAGAATAAAATGTACAATAACAGCAAGTCAGGATGAGAATTATACAGTACATGTACCTGTGTACTGAAAGTGTGAAATAATTTTAACAAACAAGAGAAGATAATGATGCCTTTGACTGAACATACTGGTAATTTGAAAAAATATCCCTATTCATATTACAGTACATAGTACAATATTTGTTTGGGACATCACTGTAACCCCTGTGCTACTGGACGCCACTTTTAATATTTTATTCAGCTAATGTCAAACAGTTTTACTCAGTATCGAGCGACCCCATACCCAAGTGGTTAATTAGAGAATTTTAGATTATTATAATTAAAACCATATCCACCGTTCTTCATCCATTAAGCTGCTGAAACAGATTTGTTTTGTCGAGGTATTCCCCTCCATAATAAGGCCCCTAGATATCCAACGGGCTTACCTCTAATTTATACAATTTGTCCCCTTACCCTCATTCAAAGCAGAGTTTCATGCAGACATTTTCCATAAAAGTCTTGATTACTACCTGAGTATAAATATATTGTAGTAAATTTTAAAAATTCAAGTCCTATCTGAAGTATTTTTTGATGAGCATTTCCACTTTTCCTCCAGATACATGGCAGGAGACAACAAAAGGGTACAGTGATACTTTCATACCAATGGTTTATCTTCTCAAGTAAACATACATGAAATAAAGTACAAAATAATATTTATACAGTACTTCAAAGTAATAATCTAATACTCATTTAAAGTACTGTAGTATGTACTATGTTAAGTCTTCAACATTGTTACAGATACATGAAGTATTTGCCTCTTGTTGAAATCAACTTGTTAATAAATATAAAATCTGTTTCTTACTATATATACCTGTACAACCAAGACAATATAAATGTGAATACATTTCCATCAGGATGTTTGGGAGTAAAGGATGTTTTTCAGGTACTCCATTTTATCTGAAAATGTTGCATGTGCCATTGAATACCACATGAAGTGCGGCACTTCTATCACAGTGTAACCCAACATTTCTAAGTGACGACGTTCCACCTGGTGGCGACCCATCAGCTGACGACTGTTGATGCAGTAGCTACTTTCTTTATGGAGCAGAACAGCCATCCTTGAAAAAATAAATATTACATCATTAACCAACTACTGGCTGCCAGACTCTATTACCGTACTTGAAATAATATTGTTTAACATATTCAAGTAACTGTTTGTTAAATCCAGGCTTATGATAACAGGTAATAGTTTGTCAGTTTACTCTATGAATCATTATTCCAACCATGTTTATCAGACTTTTTTCAATTCATAAATCCTTTTCCTGCTACAGTACAGTCGACCCTCGTTAATTCAGACCCCTTTAATCCGGATTTCGGATAATTCGGACAAAATCTGAACTTTTTTTTTTTTTTTTAATAGATTTGTAGGAATATTACCTATGCGGACCTTAAGCTAAAATACTGGTCCACCCACTGCTGGGATAAAACACCAGCGTCTTTTTGGTTAAATATAACATCTCCACCACTAGTGTGGGGGGGGATGCAACTTTTAGCTTCAGACATGAAAAATATTTACCATTTACTGCCAGTAAACAATGGAAACGTAAAATATATACCAATTAGTAATGAAAAGTTGTGCAGTTCCTTCAGCAAATGAAGCTCACCAACTTACAATAGGCTAAATTACCTTACAACATGTTTTCAGTAGTCTATGTTGAAGTTCTTAGCACAGGCTAACTTATCATATCATATACGGTATCACAGTTCTCATTGATCTACAAAAAATACCGGTAATAAAAACCTTTTCGATATTTTGCACTTAATATAATACCCGGTAATCTACTTCAACCTCCTATTGTTTACAACGACGCATGACACACCACCAGCTGTTGAGTACCAGCTAGACGGTACACGTGTTTTTCGAATCGTTTTCAGTTAAAAAACTGTTACATCACATGTATATTTTACCTTAACTGTGCCTGAATGAATATATTCTCAGAAATAAATAATAGTTTTGCTGAAACGTGATGTATTAGATACACTGTACTGTATATGTGTACATGACATACCAGAACATGTAGCAATGTATCAGTGAAGCAACAGCAAATTCAGAAAATACTGCACTAACCTCCTATATCCAGCTTTATTCTCAATATGACAATAATCAGAAGTATTAGATTTCTCTCTTGGTGAGATATACTCCTTCACTGGTACTGGTTGATTCTCTTCATCCAGAAGGAATTCAAAATCTGAAATATTTCCATGACAGCTATAAACAAGCGTACTGACAGGTGGGCAGAGAAAACAACCATTAATAAAACAAAGGAAGACTTTTTTCTCTCTTCCAAAACAGACCCTCCATTTCATTGTAAAGCCTATTGGTTAATAGCCCTTTGATAAACATTGTTTCATATTTAAAATGAAAAGTTTTAAGAAATGGGATATTTAGTTTAAGGACACTAGGGCTCTGATATGCAGTATATTACAACACATTGCACAATGTATGAGTATATTTAGTTAATTAAATAATCATGTAAAATGAGAACTGGCCAAATCCAGAAAAAACAAATACCTGTACACCAATATGTCCATAAAAAGCAGCATCAGCCCAAGAATTTTACATGATACAGTACAATGATAGCAAGTACTGTACTATATACAGTACATCATCAGAGAAGTAAATATATCTTACCCAGAAGATAATAGTAAGGAGTTTTGACATTGGCTCTTAAGACATCAGGTCCCCCAACCAACTGGGAAAGAGCTTGGTGTACCTCAGTATGGAAGACACTATTAGGAACTGCAACTGTTCAATGATACATTATTACACATTAATAACTAAATGAATGCCTAAAATGCCAGACATAACTTTTACCTGTGGATTACAGTATAACACAAATATAAGCTGGGTTTCTGTCTAAAGTGTAAGTAGACAACACAAGAGGATCTGAGAAGGATGAGTATTAAGTGGACCATAGATTAGACTTCATAAATATTGTACACAAACTACAGCAATATTGAGTTTATTTTTATTTTATCAAGTGAAGAGTTTATTAAATAGTGATTTTTACAGCTAAGACACCAGTTGAATGAATAAATTTGGCCCATTTTTCTACTGTACAGACTTTCAACCAATCCACCTGAGATTCAGTACAAAGATACCTTGTTACAGCTCCTAGATATTTATATTAATAAGCTGATTTTTTAAATCTTTTTGGCCATTATACAGGGGTTAAAGATCACAGCAAAATTATATAGAACTGGGGTAAGACATATTGTATTATCTTAAAAAAAGGTGGACACTTTCACTTGAGTTCTATCTATTAACACCTTTCACTACTGGATGGATACCACCTTCAATATTTTATTTAGCTAAAACCAGACGATTTTATTCAGCTCAGAGAGCCCTCCTTTTTATTAATACTGTACAGTACTTGTTAACTAAGATTTGGTGACTTTATAAAGGATCCATACCTGTTTCAAGAAGTTCTTCACAATACTTCTCGTGAAACCATGGAATTTTCTCCTCTGGATGGTCAATGCAAACAGCACGATTTAATTCCATAAGCATATGACGTACACGTGCAGGATACGTTGCCTATTGAGAAACAACCATCAGAATCTTTTGTGATATCAAATGACCAACAAAATACAAACCTACTTGTTCTAACATGAGAAAAATATTTGGTTGACAACTGCATAAAACTTACTCTTCACTTTTCTTTCTTATCATTGGAAGTTCCACTATGCATTGCTCGTTATCTGAATTGAACGCAGTTTACAATAACCAGTATCCTAAATTTCTACACCCCTATAAATTGGTGGACTATCCTATTACTTTAATTAACTGCTCATATATTATGCAGATCACAATCTCTGCAAACCCCACTATTATGACAACTATATTTTGTGTATTATAATAAGTACAATATACTGACAAATTTTCCATTAAACATTTATAGTGTTATTTCTAATTTTTGGGCTTTATTCAGGGTATGGAAATTTTTATAACTTCTTATGAGTACTGTATGTACATTTGCCCACAATTTCACTTTGTACAGTTAGCATTACCAATCCTCTCTCTCCATGATGTGGGAACCCAGAGAGTAACGAAGCATGATTCTTATGCGCTCACGAGTGAGGGGGAGAGTGGGTCCAGGGGATGATGGGGGCCATTGTGTGATGGGGTGGTAAGATTCAGAGGAACACTGACTTCAGTTTCATTAACCATCAGTTAAATGTTCTCATAATCCAAGCCAAACTATGTATTTGGTTGTAACCTATTGATACTTTGACTCCCTACCAGCTAGAACCTACCACTACCTACATTCATTCTATTGTCTCTTATACTATGCTTGTTGGCTTCCTACCATTTAAAAAAAAAAGGGCGCTGGTTTGAGCCAGCAGGGAGTCAAATAGGTTATAACCAAATACATAGTTTGGCTTGGATTATGAGAACATCAAACTGATGGTTAATGAAACTGAAGTCAGTGTACCCTTATACCTTGTCACCCCCCCGGACACCGGTCCCCCATCATCCTCTGGACCCACTCTCCACCTCACTCGTGAAAGCTTCGTAATCATGCTTCGTTACTCTGTGGGTTCCCACATCATGGAGAGAGAGGATTGGTAATGCTAACTGTACCAGGTAAAAGTGTGGGCAACTGTATAAGACCTCCGTACTAACAATGATCTGGAGAGATTATAACCACAAGTCATGAAAGTCTAAATAATATTCACTTTTAAAAATCAAAATACATAAACCACTAACAAACTCACACCTTTGAATAGCATCCTGATATTTCTTCATCTAATTTATCGAGGAAACTGAGGTTAAATATATTGTGAATCAGCTTGGATGACAACTGACCATACATATTCAGTCCCAGACACAACTGGAGAATATTTAAACCACTAAGTTGATGGGCATCCCTGAAAAGGATATGAAAAATTATTTTATTTTACAGTAAGCATGTACTGTACAAGTGTCTATCAGAAAAGGGAATTATTGAAAGGTTAATTTTTCTAAACATTGATTTTTCAAAGCAGAGGTTCTGATTTTTTTTTTAATACAGTACAGAGGAATTATTCAAGGCATGGATTCTTGAGGACCATTGCTGTGTGCAAGATACCTGCCAAGCATGACAAAAGAAGACATATTTTGTAATTCAATCATATTTCTCAACAGTAAGAAAGTGTTTCTAACTTCCTGGGTTATTTCAACATGTTTTTATATTAAAGTACAGTTTGTTAAATGGTCTTAGCCACCACACCATACTTGTTCAATGACAAGGCAATAAAGAAAAGCTTGGAAAAAGCAAAAATTTTTATCACTGGCTTGTGATCTGTTTTTGTGTGGCAATGGAAGACTAATGCTGTAACTCATAACTTCAATTTCCAGGCCGTCCTTCTTAATACAGTAATCCTCTGGGTCATCCTATACATCTAACTGACATGCACCATAATATTTGAACCATGTTTATGCTGCCAAAAACCACTTCATTAATTCATCTAATGGATCAGAGAGTGAGAGTAACATATGAATAGTAATACTTAAGGTGGATATTACCTCATTTCCTTGAAGCTACTGATGTGCATAAAAAACTTTCAACAGAGTAATTAGTTAATATATGGATGAAATTATTTCAAGGGTCATTAACACAGCCAATTTTCATATTACGGTATATATATATATATATATATATATATATATATATATATATATATATATATATATATATATATATATATATATATATATATATATATATATATATATATATATATATATATATATATAAATGAGCTTAACACTTTTAAGGCCTATACTGCAGTTGTTTCACAATAGAAGTCATATCTTTGAATTACTGCCCCCAACTGCTGTGGATAAGGCCTTTACAGGATTTCTAAACCCCCGTGCCTTTGAACATATTTGTAAGTTGTTAAATCAGGCATAGGTTAAAAATAAATAAGTACAGTACTATACAGGCTTGTACGCACTACATACTTCGATAAGCTGTTGGTGCAAGCTGAGAAGAACTGTTGTCCAGTTGCAGGATAATGACCGAGGGTATACAAGCAGCTCAGCAAACGCTCAATCGTATCTACCAGAATATACTCTTGGTTGTCTACTACATACTGAGCCAAGGCATCCAATATCTGCAATATAACAGAGTATATAATATCAACAGAAAAAGCCATGTTGTGACTGGGGAAGACCAAAGAAAAACATGAATTGCAGTAGTTAGAGAGCATAATAGCCACCAACTGCATGGAGTGTCTGTCTTCCTTTGGATTTCGGCTACCAGCACCATAACAGGAAAAGGCTTGTAAGAGTGAAAGAGATGTAACTTTATTATTTATGGATACAAATACCCTGTACTGTATTTTTACAGTACTAGAGATATACACACACTCATTTGTAATAAAAAAAAAATTTGACTGAGTCAAAAATTTATGTGCATTAATAATTTCCAAACACAATGATTCTTAATATGACAGAACATTTTATTGTATACTGTACCTAATATACATTAAACCTAACCTGTGGAGCCAAATGTTTGGTGGTGTAAAAGAAGTAGCAGATGTCTCTCAGAAGACGTGAATTCAGTTCGTGAAGAAAGGGGAGGTGTGCATGGACTAGTTTATCAAATAAGAAAGTTCTGGGAGATCCATGACGACTAAGATAAGCCCGTGTAATAGTTGTGACATCTATTAATGACTTTGCAGTCTTTAATTGTTCTTCTGCACAGGTGTCAAGCATACGGCATATTGCAGTGATCTGCTCCATAAGCCTCCTACGAGTATTCTTGGGATTTAGAGCCAGTGTTATTTGGACCCCTCGAGACAAGTTTAAAACATCAAAAGAGGTGAACTGAGACCCATACTGTATAATTTTCTCAACAATATCTTCAGGTAATCCCTCTCTGCTATCATAGCTGATCAGGAATGCTGACATGCTGGCCAGTTTGTTAGGTACGAGGCCAGTTGGACTACGTATATCCTTAAGCAACAGCGATGACATATTCTTTTCCATGTGATAGTTTCTGTATGTTCCACCAAGGTTGTTGTTGAAATACATGTACCGGTGGTATACCTTTCTGCGTAGTATTTCTTCAAAGCCTAATTGAAAATTGGTAGTTTGATCAATCTCTCTCTCAACCGCTTTCATTGACTTAGTCCAAAATGCATTACACAGTTTAGTATTTGAGGTTTTAATATATCTTAAAGTCTTGAAAATTACACCAATATAGTCATAAAACTCTGCATTATCAAGTTGTTCAGCAACCAACTCTTCAAAATACTTCTTCCTATTTAATGAACCAAAAGGAGCTAAATATAACAGCTCAGGCCCTGTAATGGAATTCTTAGACACTTCAATTTGTGATACAGAATATTGTTGGATCTTGGTGAATATTTCACGAGGTTCTAAAAAATTCTGGAAGTAATTACTTAAATCAATAACTTGCCAGATACCAAGTGACGGCATCCTATTCACTAGACACAACATAAGCTGACGACACAGGAAGTAGTGTTTTGATGACCATTTTGAATAGTTAAGAAGCTTTATTATTTTCAATATTACCTTGGGATCACAAGTTTCAAAATTTCCCGCCTCCAAATTTTTCTCAACAAATTTTCTGTATTCATTAATTAAAGATTCTGTAATAATTTTCTTTGTACTATTTAGGCATATAGTTATCAAATGTAATTCTTCAAGTGTTGAGCAAGTTCTGAGTTTGTCTGCCACAATAGGCAGGAGCTTCGACTGAAGAAAGTAAGCTTTAATACCTTGGTCTCGTAGGTACACTGTAAGCCGTGACAATGAATTTAAATTAAAATTATTTAATCTTTCCAAGCATAATACTGAAAGTTTCTGCATTAAAGGTGCATCAGTCCTTAATCCTATCTTATTCAAATATAGAAGCATACAGGAAATTGCAGTGTTATTCAAATCTTCACAGACATTTTCTAAGTGTTTTAATAATTTTTCAAACGTTGGGTGATTCAAAATTTTTTCTAATAAAGTATTAAGTTGAAAATTTGTAACGGAAGAATAATCAAGGCCATATCTTCCATACACTTTCTGAAGATCCCAGAGTGTAACAATGGCTTGGCTTGATTGCTCTGCTGTTAAGAAGTCTCTGCATTTGTCAATTGTATCAAACACTTCCTGAAGACTATTGGCTTGACTTATTGTTTTCACAATCGGATCATTTGAATTCTGATATAAGTTAACTCTTAGTAGATCAAATTGGTCTTTGCTTAAAGTTCTGTCTCTGTCAAGGCCATCAATGTCAAATTCAGAATCACTGATGATGCCTGAATCATCAAAGTCATCATCACTGGTTTGAGTGACATAATATCTGGACTGAGTTCTTATCACTGCAGGAGTAAAAACTCCCATCCAACCACAAATAATCCTCAAACAATTATTATTGTGAAATGCTTGTTGGGGTCCATTGTGTTTAGAATGATGTTGATTGATGCAACAAACTCGTTGATAACGTAGCCGTTGAAGATATGTAATCCTGTACACAGCCTTTGAGTTGATCAAACTCGGCCCCGTCATCCACATGGAGTAAGACGTAATGAACCCCACTCGCTGCATCTGAAAGTAATTCAACTACTGTACTACCATTCATGAAGTACCAGATACTGCTAAATTCTGTAATTCATTATTCATAAAATGAAACAAACTAACATAAGAAGATAAGAAAATAAGGAGTCTGCAATAGGCCAGTTGGCCCGTGCATGGCAGCTCCTGTCGAGAGTTACTACCACTCTCTATCATCCATGAATCTATCCAGCCTCCTTTTGAAACTTTCCAGCATTCCAGCACTTACTACAAAGTTGCTAAGCTTGTTCCACTCGTCCACCACCCTATTTGTGAACCAGTTCCTTCCTATCTCCCTCCTAAACCTAAACTTATCCAACTTAAATCCGTTGCTCCGAGTCCTATCCTGCTTGGATATTATAAGAACTTTATCTATATCCCCTCTATTGATTCCTTTCACCCACTTCAATACTTCTATCATATCTCCCCACACTCTTCGTCTTTCTAGGGAATGCAAGTTTAGTTTCTTTAACCTATCTTGATATGGAAGGCTTCTAAGTCCCGGAATCATTTTCGTCATTCTTTGCTGCACCGACTCTAGTGAATTGATATCCATTCTATAATAAGGGCACCAGAACTGAACCGCATAATCGAGGTGCGGCCTCACTAGCGCAAGATATAGTTGCAATAAGACCTCTGCACTCTTATTACTTACACTTCTAGATATAAAACCCAATACTCTGTTTGCCTTATTTCGAACATTAACGCACTGTTTTCTAGGCCGTAGGTCCGGGCCTACAAGTACCCCTAAGTCTCTTTCACAAGTAAACTTCTCTAGGTTGATGTTGTTAAGGCTGTATACATTGACAGTATGTGTTCTTCCAATATTAAGTACGCTGTTATCTTGTATTTTAATCTACTAATAAAATAAATATTACTTTGAATAGACGCAGTTCCTAACAAAAATTAAACATGGCATCCAGAGGGAGATTGGCTGCACCTCCACAGATGTAATACGCAAAAAATTGTTAAAGTGATATTAGGCAAAACATATTCCTCATGCACTTTTGTTTTGCTTCAGGAGTTAAGAAATATTTTGTCTTATCTGGTAATATGTCCTACATGAATGTAGGACATTTGGTTTGGGCCAGGGTGGTTATGATCTAATCTAACCTAAGCTAACCTAACTTAACCCAAAATGTTCATTCACCATTGTAGGGTTGGTACTGTAGTTAGGAAGCAACATTAATACTGTACGTATAGACTAATACAGGTAACGAAACAAACACTAAAATGAAAGTTAATTGGTTTGGATTTTTTAGTAAAAATTTGTAGTTCTGTACATTTACTGATGATAACACATAAGGTCCAGGAAACAGGCATGGCAGCCACAAGTGTGGTAGGCAGACTATACAGTGATAGTGATGTTGTTTTCAGATGAGGAAGGATCCATAAACTCGAAAGCAATTATTAACCTTTCTACAAGTAAGGAAAGGTTAGGTAATCTTTTCAAAGGATTATTTGGTGTTCTTTTTGGTATTTTACCCCCACATTTTCCCTCTACTTCAAAGCCCTGCCCACTCTGAATAACCATGAAGAGGATAAAAGTAAAAAAAAAAAAAAAAGTAAAAGTAATGATTGTTGGTATTGGGGCGGGGTCATATCGCTTAAATTACTTGAAAATATAAATTTGCGACAGAAACGTAATAAAATAAAATATTTTTATTTTCTTTGCTCTTTCTCCCTATATAGTAAATAGAAATACAGTATGAAATTTCATGGTGTAACTAAAACGAATCTTAACCCTAACCTACCCTATAATCTAACTTAACCATATCTATATCCAGTGTGATTTTGGGCATACAGCTGCCATACCTATACAGAATCCACTACGAACACATAAAGCACAAGTAATACTGTACTTATTTCCAATGTGGTATATACGGTTAATTTTTACAAGTGGACTCTCAGCGACTTTAAGGTTGAAACAATGTTTTACCAATGAGTTCTGAAGTGTTTCGAAGGATTTCGACCATGAATTTCATTAGGAATGAGCCATTTTGAGTTATTATACCTTCTCCCCCAACAGAAAAATTAGTGATATGTGATATAAATGACTAAAACTAAACCTAACCTAACTTAGCACCTGCAATGGTTTACTGAGATCGAAGAAATGCTGATTTATGGTAAAACCTCATGATCACGTCCCAGTAATGTAGATCGCACCTAAACACAAGAGCCCTTTTGATTATGATTCAAATTTAACCACTGACACCACCTACACCCATACACGCAAAAAATATTCCTAAAAACTTTGAATCCAGCCTGTTCATTGGCTCAATAAGACGGGCAGGAGGTCATGCACACCTCACCTAAACCCCAGACGAAATTTTTTTAAATATCTCGCTTACATGTAATTTGATATAAATGCTTTCAGTAAAACTGATAAGAGATGGGTGAGCTCTACCTTTAGCAACTATTCTTTTGCAAACATCTTTTGAGGATCCACTTGTAAAATAATAAATACCTAATATACTTGACTTTATCCCAATATAATTTTGTGTCAATTCATGGCAATATATCCACTGACAAATTTGTGATATTACAGTCGCCCAAGCCTTATAAATTGACCAATAATTACAATAATTTACAGTAAATAAAGTAGTGACATCTATACACTACCATTCTCCCCAAAAATTAATAAGCTCAAATATACAAACCTTGAATCTCCGCTTTTCGGTGTCTGCATGTTATGTGGAATCATTAGATAGATACCATGGCAAAATTATATCCGCCATTACAATTACGTACAGTATATCGAGTAAATATCCTCCAAGTAGAGGAATGAGTACAGAATATTCCAAACACACACAGATAGAGACGTAATCATGTTTGTTAACGCTGACCAACGAACCCCAAAATACCGACTCCTTTACTTACGAAACTCAGCAGAGATAAACACATAAATATTCAGTAAAATCGTCATCATTACACATTAGTGGCTGTCAAATGTCTTTATACAGAACTTCTACTATCAATGATCTGTTATTTCGTATCATACATAAGATGAAGGTGAAGTGAATGTTGCAATAACGACACCTAGCAAGAATATACCTTCAGCTATCTCTTAAGGCGGGAATTTCGGATACTAGGTGATGTACTATATAATGAAATACAGGTAATCATCAGGTTTTCTATGACCTTGGTAATTTTTTGGTATAAAATATTATTGGAGGTGTGAAAGAGAAAGTGAATCGTGGAAGCTTGACGGGCGGGTCTGTTAGGGTGAGTGCGGACACAGAACAGTGTAGACTAAAAAAAATACTCATTTAATACACGAAGAGATAGCGGTTCGGCATAGAGCACTGCATTTGACCACCTTCCTGTATCTATCTGTACGGTTAGGCACCTTTCTTTTACAACTGGATGGACTGGGGATGCCCCTGGCGCGAACCAATTAACTCAAAGTTAAGACAGGAGGTAAGTTCTCCTGTCCGCCTTATCCTATTACACGTATCCTATGTAGTACTATGTAGTTAAAATAAACTAAGTAGTAATAATTAATTGGTGATGACGAAGAAAAGTATTGAAGACAAAATGCGTCCTAAATCCTTTTAATTAAATTGGGTTGAATTAGGCTATGCCGGTGTCACGATCTATCTCATCCCTCAGTTCAAAACGTCCGCACCGTTCTCCCTCCCAGTCCCAGGTTGATACTGTACTGCGTTATGTTGAGCAATATCCAGTACCTCAGGCGTGGAAGATATGTGGAACAACGACCTTACACACTCGCTTTGTAACTACATACTTGCTCGGACAAATTTCCGCAAAACAATTTCTCAGTTGAAAATTCCACCATCATAAAATTATAGATAAAATCGCACTACCAAAATAATTAAGGAAAGCAAAATCACACCAGCTCGGCAGCTTTGTCCTTAATTTCTAATACTAATTATGGTGGGCTGGGAGATTTTATTCTTTTAATCAAACAGATATTTAACTCATGGGGAGGTCTTGACACTCAAGGCCTCAGACACTTTCCCCGCTCACCCAGTCAGTTGATAAATTTCTATGATGTTTTGTAGCTTTTTTAAACGTGTGTATATGTTAGGGTCTTACTGTTCTAGTCTAGTGAGTACCAGGAATATCTAATTCTATGGCCTTTTATTTTTAAAGTACCAGGTAGCATGGCGGAATGGTCTGATCGGAAAACCACTATTAATAGCTTAGAAATAAACTGCCTGCGAAGGCTACATTATTAATATGCAGTATACTGTACCAGTACTGTACCACAATGCAATAAAAGTCTGAATTGACTGCGTTATCCTCGAAGTTCTATTGTAATATATTTACTTTATGAGATGTAATTTCTTTCCAAATTGTATTTTACTGTACCAGAGAAAAATTCACGATCAAATTAAATTAAACCAAGAATGGCCAGTAATCTACTGTACAAAAAGCATACTGTATATTCATCGCATTTTAAATAGGTTACACACACCACTGGCCCTTCCCTGGGCAGGGCCACCTCTATTAGGCTCTAATGCTAATTTTTTCCCGACATGGAGAAATGAAAACGCATCTTAATTTTCACTTAAGTCATAGCCAAAAAGACGAGTCAAAAATTTGCATCGTAATTGCATAGAGATTACCATCACTAGAAGTGTTCTCCAATACTCTTTGGATAGAAAAAAAAATCAGTTTACGAATCTGGAGAATCCGGAACTCCAGCGCTCCGCCCTACATAACTCCCACAAGACGTTTTTACACTTGAATCCTGTTTATGGTCCCTTCGCTCTCTTACTTTCAAAAACTTTGCAAAATTATGTCCAGAATATCTCTGTGGATAAATCTAGAATTGTGTTATGAATGTTTTTTTACTATTTCTCAAAGTTTTCACCTTCCTATTCATGTTCATTAATTCAGAGCAGTCCACATATTGTTCTCCATGATCCCATTCTCCTTCAGTTTCGTCCCTATTCATTCTTTATGCCTCTTTCCTAGGCAACTTTCTCATTCATCATATATTGCCACACACCCCCGTCCTAACCATGACCACAGTCCCATGGGATGACTGATAATTCACATCTACAATTTCGAATAAGAGCGCGAAAAATTGCAACATTTTGAGGATATAATTAATTAGGTTATTACTTTACTAATCAAGTACATAACTGATGACAAGAAAAGCATATTTTTCCATTTATATATATTTATTCAGTCGTATCTCTACCTTGTTTACGCGTTAAAAATCAATATAAAATTAAAAATACCGAGAGAACTGCAAGTCGGTGTACAGGGTAGAGTCGAGTTAGTGGCGGCTTGTGTCCTTGGCGTCAGATGGTCACTTGCAAAGCGGTCAGGGATCATAATATTATGACACATGGTTTTATAAGAGTATTAAAACTTTCTATGTAAAATAGTAATTTTAAAAGTATAAAATGTGGTCGACTGTAAAAGCGAAAATTAACTTACAAATACAGTATAACCTGAATTCAGTGATGTCAGTTACAGACATTTTAAAGTGTTGGTTTTATTATCTCCTAAATATTGCAAAGCTAAACATTTCGACAGTTGACTTGGCATGTCAGACCTACTGTGTGAGTATTTCTGATCTTATCTACAGGGGTTAAGCCTGAGATGAACCCCTGACCTTATGACACTTGTGCGTTTAGATGTCTCTTGACTTTCAATAAGACCTGTGCTATATTTAGGAGTCACTGTCGATAAACACAAGTGAAACACACTCAACCATGGAGGCCGACACATAATTATTTACACATATGCATTGGATATTCACTATATGATGCACCTTTAACGATAAATGGATTTTTTGCCCTTAAAGAAAAATAATAATAATTGGGCACAATACAATACCTGACTACTTAAAGTGCGATATAGCGGAACTGTTATATTACTGCAAAACAAATATTTAAAAAAATATGGTAGGCAACAGGGATGCTGAAATTTTTGTCTATTTGAGAAGTATCATAAGCTCTAATTGTAGACGAAGAGAAATTAAAACAGGATTAGGTCAAGAAAACACGGTATTGTATAGTCTTAGCTATACAGTATGTTGAAAAGGAATATTGATTTTAGCTTGCTAAAAAGACTGCTGATATCCAATAAATGATCAGCACTATTTTATGGGTGAGAAGCATGGCCTTTCAAAATGTGGTGCTACAGAACTAACAATGACTAGAAAATCCAACTACGGATAATTTATTGAATAACTGAGATGCTTTGGTCACTATAGTGATGAAGACAATGGTAGATATATTAATTGGCAAATTTGATTGCATGAGGACGCTCAGGGGATAGTAGAAACTGGAAAGGATTACCGGGGTAATGAAATAATTACTAGCTGGGCCCCAGAATATATAAAATTAGAAGCGTTTGTATGGCACCTTGAATGATTGACTGGTGTAATCATCCTGAGATGTATGAACGGGGTAACACGGACAGGCGTAAGTTTCTCTTAATAACGTTTGTTTATTTGTTTGCTGAAAAATATATATAGAATATTATATTGTACAGTATACTAAATAATGTATGAATAAATAATTTAATTTCTTGTTTAACTATCGTGACATACTTTCGAATTTAACAGTTCAATACTGTTCTGCTACAATATGTAAGTTGAGGTCAACGAAATCTCCATGTCTATCACGAATAGGTTCGTAGAAGTTCACCACATTTAAAACAAGATGGAAATATATTTTCAGCAAATAAATCAGAAAAATATTAATTTCAAATACAAAGAATAACAAATGAAATAATACAGTCTGGTTACTCAAACAGCAGAAAACGATGACGTAAAAGTCCAGCGTCCAATCACGCCTGAGAGAGATTTGACGTCACACAGGAGGACGCTCGTCATTGGTTACTCCGCACCCATGATTCTAGAATAATTTGTCTTAACGCAAACAGACGCTCGATGAAACTGGTTTCGTCAGTCAACTACAAGTCTCAGTCTTAGTTGGATATCGCGTTTTGTGTGTCGTCATTGGCAGTAACGATTCGTGAGTATTAAATTGATCTCTGTTTCTTGATGTATTTATGTATGTTTTCTTTTCTGATTTGAGGAGCCCAATAAGTTTTGCGTCACTATTATAGTTCTTTAACCCCTCCATGGTAAGGTAAACGTGTATCTTGACTATGATTCTACCTTTTTTTTCTTCATATTACACTAATACAGAAGATGAAATAGAGCACATATGTGTTATTGAACGGACCAAACAGGCCTCTGAACGATGAATGATCACCTTTAAAGACAGGTTTGTTTCTGGGATTACCGCACCAAATTCTGAGTAATCTCCGGTAGGTTGGGGATAGCTCAATAATTGTGAGTGCTGTTGGAAAATGTATCACGTGTTAGTAACAAATACTATCAAAGATTCTATCAAAATTAAGTTAATTTAATTGGATTTATTCAGATTAGATTTGTGAGTAATGACGTTTGTGAAGGCGTGTTGGTCTGGAAAGAGAATTTACTCTTCTTCGGTATACTGATGGCTTTTAGCAATCAACAGTTGTTAGTGGTTGACTTACATTCGGCAATATTACAACTTTTGGAAGACAAAAGTCGGTCAAATAGGTTTGAGTCATGGCGTTGTCTATCGAGCTTGAATAATCATGAGAAAATTTATCAAAATTTAGCTAATAAAATTAATAGGGAGACCGCTGATTGCCTCTCCCAAGCAATGTGACCTATGAAATTTGAGTCACCCCAGGGCGTTGGACACGTAGCCCAGGTATCAAATATCACACAGGTTCAGATAGTGTAAATTTGCATCTCTGTGGTCTGGACAGGGGTATAAAACGAGTTTTACAAGCCTGTAGAGGGCATAGCTATGGTACTGGATCACATCGGATATTTAATACTTATTCTCCTAATTAAGGTTCGAATCCGGAACGGATAGATCTTGTACGGTAACCATATCTTGGATGGCTCTCGATTAAGTTGGTTATGCACAAGGAGAAAATGTCATAGGCTAATAATTGTACAGTACAGTACAGTACTTCTAAAGTCAAATGTGTACTAGTGTGTTTTGTCGTGTTACACCTTAGGAATTGAATCTGCCTTGCCTACCACACATAATTAGTGAGATCCAAGATTTGGTGTGTATTGGTGCTTTCACATTGAGGCCGGAATCGTACATATTCTGACGCAAATTGTCCGGAGACAAACGAAATTAGCTAGCCTTTTTGCACGAGTCTGTCGCCTCCAAGATGGGTGTGCACAAACGAGTAATACAGTTTAACCTCAACGTAATGCTTAAACATGGTAATGTTGGCATCCATAGATTAGGGAGTACAGTATATCCCCAAAGTCTAATTGTATTAGACTTTGTATATCACATTCTATGAACATATTTGCCCGTGTCATTCTTGGGTTTTCGTTTGACAGCTTCAGGAACTTGAATCAGGTAAATTTGAAATTAATTTACTTAAAGTAACCTAACCTAACTTTTGACACCGCTTACGATCTTCCATTTATGAAAAGCTTCTTGGTGATGGGCTCCTATAATATTATAATTTGGAGGTATAATTAACTGATAATGAAAATATAAACGGTCGGGTGATACGAGTACGGAGCGTAAAAAAAAAACCTAACGGAAAATACAACATATGATAAAGAATATATAGGATTCTTTTGAATGTAGGTGATGGGCATTATCTTGACATTCGTGGTGGGCAACTGGGAGAACAAGTTGTTACCATGTTTGGTGAGTGGGCGACGAAGTGCGAGATGAGTCAGGGTTGAGAGGGCCACATCCCACACTAGACACCGCCGTAGTGCCCGGGTAAAGGCAGCCAAGGATGCACTGTGCCACTTTCCCTCTCGTGGAGCCAGTATCCTGTTCCTCCCCAATCTCCTTAAGTGGTACCCTATTGTCATATACAGATAGCTTGTGTAGAAGTCTAACGGCGACGTCTGGGTCAAGTTTCACCAAATTCGGCACATTGAAGCCATTTTGGAAATTACATTGTCTGTACAGTAATAGTAAGCCTGGCAATTAAATGCTTTTTTACATCTCCCATGGTGAGGAAAATTTAAGGTATGAATCTTCGAAAGGCCTGGTCCTAATTCGAACGGCTAATAAGTTGAATAGCAGTGAGAAGGCAATCGCAACACCCACGATTGTTAATGTGTTTGCATCTGAAAGAGGATACGAATTTTGGCCGCACAAATTCCTTGCATTGGGGCCTCCTCGCCTCTGTAAAGACAACTACAGTATAGTTGGGATATTTTCAACTTTTAGAGTAACTGGGACGTCAATACCTAAATTGTAATTGAATAATTTGTGGGAAGTGGATTGAATACTATGGTTCACCTGTAAGAGTACAATAGAGTGCCCCTCCACCTACCAACCTCCCATGGAATAGCCCAGGTATATTTGCTGTAGTCTTTGGTTATCTCTTCTGTTAAGTAATCACAAGCTTAGAAATTTGTCAGGGCAAACTGTTTTGGAGTGAAAGTTATAAACTCTGAACAATCTACCAGATAATGTTGTGACGGCACCGAGTGTGAGTTCATTCAAGGCCAGACTTGACCAACTCTGGCGCAGGTAAATACCAAGGAATATCCAATTCTGGAGCCATTGCTTACAGTGCTTGCCAACAGTGTGAAACAGAGACGTGAGCGACCGCTCAAGTGGCGAAGAGGATAAAATAATGAACTGCTGCTGTCGCACACCTACAGCTATTCGAAGAGGATAAAAGTAAAAATACAGGTCAATATTAAAACCGACAAACCTAATAGGATTGCGCTCACCTGAAAAGTTGTTTCTTTTTTCCAAATATGGCAATGTGGATGCCATCTTGGGGAAAGTTTATGACGCCTCTTGCTTGTACGGTGAGCCAAATGTAAACACGTGAGGTCAAATCAGATTTTATTTGTGACGTATTTTCTGATAAAAAGGCTAGATCAATTTATTACGAGTTGAGACATATCTGTTTAATTAATTTAGACAAACAGGGTAATTTGTATGAATACGGATCAATATTTGATCAAGGGAAGCCAACTCTGACTTATCAATTGAGCAACCGTATTGGGCTGAGCCTCAGTGACTGGCTCGAGTACGTGTGTGCCGCGCCTTGAAAGACCAGAACATTCGACTGTCTACACAACCGGTCAGTAACTAGTCGGATTTTGTAGCATGGAACCTCGTTTAGTTTTATGTAGTTAACGCTGAACACTTTCAACAAAACCACAAATCCAAAAAACTAATTTTAATTCAGTCCTGATAAATTTTCATTTAATTGCCCCACTAGGACAAAAATTTTGTTTTTTATGTATTTTGTTTTTAGTTTTGAACGATTATGACCTTCATTTACGTAGGAAATCTCTCGTTTCTGAGATATCGACTCTCTCTACCCCTCCCAAAAATGAGTGATATTCCGACGGAAATGAGTCATAATCGTTCAAAACACGTCAAAATCCACCAGAAAAACATTTTTTTTCTGATATAGCTATCTTACAATGTTGGGAGAATCGGGGGGAGGGGGAGTAGAGTTTGCTGTCAGAACCTAACTATTTACCTAACCTGGGGACTTCATCCCAGTGGCCCTAGGCGGGGGGCTGTATCTTGGTAATCCTTTGTTTCCAACGAAAATGTTATAGATTTTTTTTTTAAATTGTCTAAATTACTGGATAGGTATATTAAAAAAAAAAGTTGTGGTGCAATTAAAAGCAGCAATACCAAAGTCAATAGTTTGTAATCTTGTAATTCAGTTATGATGCTAAAAACTGCATTACTCTTGAAATTATTTGGAAGAAAGGGGATTAGTATATCGGACTATCCTGCAAGGGCTGCATAGCGCTGATGCAGCCGTATCATCTCCATCTGTAGCCAGACTCAGTTTGTGCCCAGTCAATACCTAATTTATCCAGTGCCCCTACCAAACCCACAAAGATGTCATCACCTGTTGTTGTTCCTTTCATTGGTACCAGTTTCACAAATTCTTCTGTTACCTGCATATTTTCATCCACACCACGTATAAAAACTGCAAGTTGTGCTACATCACTTACATCGGTACTTTCATCTATTGCAACTGAAAATGCAGTAAAGGACTTAACTTTGTCTTTGAGTTGACTGTTAATATTCTCTGATAATTCACCAATTCTTTTGTGCAACTGTATTTCTTGAGAGGCTTATGTTTGCAAATGCTTGACGTTTTTCTGGGCAAATATCTTCTGAAGCCATCAACATAACATTTCTTTATAAAGTTCCCCTCAGAAAACGGCTTCAGTGACAGCAATTTCATGGGCAATCCTGTAACTTGCCTTAACTGCAGCATTACTGACTTCATGAACACTTTTAAATACTGACCGCTGCTTTTTCAATGACTGCTCCAACTCCTTAACTTTGTCTTCATGTAACTTTCCACTATATTTATTGTACTTCATAGCATGGTTAGTTTCATAATGCCTTCGAACGTTGTATTCTTTGGCCACAGCAACTTGTTGATTACAAATCAAACATGTTGGTTTTTCATTCATTTCAACAAAAAAGTATAAGATTTTCCACTTATCCTGTACCACCCGACGCACTTCATTAACTGTTCTTTTCTCTGAAAACATAATTATGGGCTCAGAAGTAAAAACAATGATCACTGCTGCTTTGGATATTTGCAACGTTCCAACTGCCTCGATCGACTATGCAGGACTAGTACTTGAATGATTGGCCAAGCGAGAGCCTGCTGCGTCAGAGTTTTCATGTCTAATACCTGTAATGTATGGAGTGTATACGTCAGTAGTCGGCCGTCTCACAACTCGTACAGTGGCACGCTTACAACCACACTTAACCGTTAAAACTGTCTCTAGTCTTATTGCTCTTTCATTGGTGATGTTGATTGAGTATTTTGTTCTAGGAAACAGCAGACTATTTTATTCAACTGAGGGATACACTCACTATTTAGTTTTAGCTCCTCAAGATAAGGCTGGAGCAGCAAGTGGGCCGCGGGCCACATGCAAGAGTGTGTCGGGCCTCATGTTTGACACCTCTGCTGTGCAGTATAATGAAAATCTGAAATACACGACAGACTCCTGGAAACGATACTCTTCAGATATATTCTATAGAAGTTGTTTCTTACTTCATTAATAGAAATAAATGGCTGGAGGAATTGCAAATTTTCCACTTGATTTTCCTTTGTTTTTTAATAGGACCAGGGTTTTGTTTGGCCCATATATGGGTACTGTACTGTACAGTATTTGTTTTGGGTGGACGGATAGCACTAAAGCTTAGTGTATGAATTGCTGTTGGTTTTGAGAAGTTCTAAAAAAAAAATAATGTACAGTACTTACTGTATCTTAACTTTCTGCAAGATAAACAGTAAATGGACAGTATATTAATTTACTAGTAGGAGTAATGGATCATGGAAATTGTAGTTCTCATTATCATTACTTATCCTAGCCATTCTATGATGTTGTATACTGTACTGTAATTAGAATTGTAATTATTTACAGAAGGCTTTTCGTGATGTTTTTGAGATCCATTTCTTAAAATTTTACAGTTTGCTTATTGATTAATGTTGAAGTTAAGTTGACAGTCATTGGTCACACTAATTTTGATATAAAATTAGGAAATTGCATATTTAGGGTAAATCTGATTATGATAATTTGTTATAATATATATAATTATTTTTCAGACAATGACCAAAGCTGTTGGTATTGATCTTGGCACAACCTTCTCGTGTGTGGGCGTGTTCCAGCATGGGAAGGTGGAGATTATTGCCAATGACCAGGGCAACCGTACTACACCATCTTATGTCGCCTTCACAGACACAGAGAGACTCATTGGTGATGCAGCCAAAAATCAGGTAGCAATGAATCCAAACAATACTGTGTTTGATGCTAAAAGGCTGATTGGCAGAAAGTTTGAAGATGCTACTGTTCAGGCTGATATGAAACATTGGCCTTTCACTGTGATTAGTGAGGGGGGAAAACCGAAGATACAAGTGGAATACAAGGGAGAGAATAAATCCTTCTACCCAGAAGAAATTTCATCCATGGTATTAACGAAGATGAAAGAAACTGCTGAAGCTTATCTTGGCACCACAGTCAAGGATGCTGTGGTAACAGTACCTGCATATTTCAATGATTCTCAGCGGCAGGCTACTAAGGATGCTGGAACAATTGCAGGTATGAATGTCCTCCGTATTATCAATGAACCCACCGCTGCAGCCATTGCCTATGGCTTAGACAAAAAGGTGGGTGGTGAACGCAATGTGCTGATCTTTGACCTTGGTGGTGGTACATTTGATGTTTCTATCTTGACAATAGAGGATGGCATTTTTGAGGTAAAATCTACTGCTGGTGACACTCACCTTGGAGGAGAAGACTTCGATAATCGTTTGGTTACCCACTTCACCCAAGAGTTTAAACGTAAATACAAAAAGGACTTGGGTGAAAATAAACGGGCCATTCGTCGTCTGCGGACTGCCTGTGAACGTGCTAAGCGCACATTATCCTCATCTGCACAGGCTAGCATTGAAATTGACTCTCTTTATGAAGGGGTTGATTTTTACACATCCATCACAAGAGCTCGATTTGAAGAAATGTGTGCAGATCTCTTCCGCGGCACACTTGATCCTGTAGAGAAGTCTCTTCGTGATGCTAAAATGGACAAGGCACAAATTCATGATCTTGTCATGGTTGGTGGATCTACACGTATTCCCAAGATCCAAAAGTTACTTCAGGACTTCTTCAATGGTAAGGAACTGAACAAATCTATTAATCCTGATGAAGCTGTTGCTTATGGTGCTGCTGTGCAGGCTGCAATCTTGAGTGGTGATAAATCTGAGGCTGTACAAGACCTTCTGTTGCTGGATGTTGCTCCGCTTTCTCTCGGTATTGAAACTGCTGGTGGTGTGATGACGGCACTCATCAAGCGCAACACAACCATCCCCACCAAGCAGACACAGACTTTCACAACATATTCTGATAATCAGCCTGGTGTGCTCATCCAAGTGTATGAAGGTGAACGTGCTATGACCAAAGACAACAACCTTCTTGGTAAGTTTGAGTTGAGTGGCATCCCTCCTGCACCACGTGGTATTCCTCAGATTGAAGTCATCTTTGACATTGATGCTAATGGAATTTTGAATGTATCTGCAGTGGACAAATCCACTGGTAAAGTGAACAAGATCACAATAACAAATGACAAGGGTCGTCTAACCAAAGAGGAAATAGAGAAAATGGTCCAGGATGCTGATAAATACAAGGCTGATGATGATAAGCAGCGTGAACGCATTTCAGCAAAGAATGGTTTAGAATCTTATTGCTTTAACATGAAATCCACTGTGGAGGATGATAAGTTTAAGGATAAGGTTCCTGATGATGACCGCAAAAAAATAATGGATTCTTGCAATGAGGCTATTAAGTGGTTGGATGCGAACCAAATGGCAGAGAAAGAAGAGTATGAACACAAACAAAAGGAAGTTGAGCAGATCTGTAGCCCCATTATTACTAAAATGTATGCAGCTGCTGGAGGTGCTCCTAATGGTGCACCTGGAGCACCACCTGGAGCAGCTCCTGGAGGTGGCACTGCCAGTGGACCAACCATTGAAGAGGTTGATTAAATTTAACCTTCATCCCTTTCTTGAAATCCTGTTATTGTAAACAAAGGTTCCATTAATTTGTTGTTGAAGGAAATACGATTTTATTTATATTTTACCATTCCATTTATTTTACATGTAATGCAATGTCTACATATTCAGTACTACAGTATGTATTAATTTGTTTTAAGAATTAATGGAACATAATTTTTTTTTTTTTTTTTTTTAATACAATACATTTGACTCATAATATTCATGGAAGGGCAAATAAGCACTGTACAGAGTACAGATATTATTGGGAACAATTCCTTAACCATTTTTTTTTTTAAACCTTGAACATTGTGCAGGAACAAACTGAACTACCCCCTACATATTTGGTTGGAGTGTATTCTGTAATCCATATTGATATGGTAATATGGCAGCAAAGAAGACACAAGGTCAGGAAGGTAACCTTACTCCTGAAGTTTCATCGTGTAGGACTTATAAAAAAATTCCTTTGATGTTCATAACATGACTTTATCAAAGAAATTCCTTTGATAAAGTACTATTTCCTGGTGAGTTTTCTCTCTGACCCTGTTTCCTCTGCTACATATTACCTTTGTCCAAATGAATCCTATCCACATTGATTATGGTATACGGAAACCAACATGAAGATCATGTTTAATATACAGTAATTATTTTCAAAATTAAATTTGGCCTTATAAATTGTAATTGGTATTGAGTTTCTGTTAAAGTAATAAGTATTTATTTTGCTTACAGAATGATGTAAGGATCAGCTTCTATTATTTGTTTTAGATTTACTTGTTAGTATAAAAACCTTTGCTGGAGTTTGAATGTATTTAAAGAATATATTTTTCTCTCAATAAAAGGAATTGGAAGATTATTCTATTATTCCCCTGGAACTAATGAAGTTTATGTCTAGTTTTTGAGGAAAGCCATCATGGCACTATTAAGGATGCCTTGCTTAAAATTTAACATAACCAGTGAAATTTTTGGTATTCACTGCCTGCTAACCTTGTCCTGAAAATTTTCACCTTACTATTTCTTCCTTTTCATATCTTTTTGAGAGGAATGATGGTAAATTATGGGAAGTCATGAGGCAATGGAAATCTTAATTTGACTTTAGCCAAGATATAATAAGCTATTTCCATGTCTCGAAGCTTTGGTGCAAAAAGATGTACTATATATGGAAGTTATATTTAATTTGGTGTATAGTACATGAACTTTAAACTAATAGTAAAATCCTATTAATGAATGTAGAACCCTCATGAGAAATAACTACTTCAGTTTAAAAAATACACTGTACAGTATTAACTTTCACGTCTCCTCTAAGATGCACTGGACCAAAAACAAGAGGAACATTAACTATTACATTAAAGACTCCTAACATTACTCATTTGTTCTCATTCGAACCAACATTAAAGACCCATTTGCTTTCATTCTAACCAGTACAACAAATGTTTACTATTATGGTGTTCTCTTTCTATGTGATTTGTCCTGTTTACTCCTATATTTTCATTGACTGATCTAGGCAGCTACTATAGTGTACTTCTTGATTATCATCTTTTTAACCCTTCACTACAGGGATGCCACTTTAATCTTTCATTCAGTGCAGAGGGAATCCCATACACAAGTGATTAATTAATAAATTGCCAACTCTGAAATTCCTGAAGGATCCCAAATTTGAGATCCTCAAAATGGGTTCTTCAATAAAATGATACTTAAATATTTAGATTATATGATCTAAAAGTGCCATAGATCTGCTAGGATGTCGCTTTGAATGAGGATCACCACAATATCTTAATTTATCTGCTGCCCATGGACGGAGGGAATATCCAGAGCCACCAGGTAAGATATTATTAATATTCTTATTTAATTTGGCAAATATATGCTTGGAGGTATCACCTGGCAGATCTTCAGATGTCTGGTTATAAATCTTTTTGCCAGGTTCTGTACTATTGGGCTTATTTTTCCATACCTTTTCCTGTTTTTCAATTGGTCCCATTCCATTATTACTGTCCTTCACTCCCCCAAGGGTGATATGATAAAGGTAGGGATTTTTATCAGGGTCAGTATGCTGGGGTGCACCACATTCACGACAAACACTTTGCCCTTTTCTATCTGTTATTGTTGGCTCCAGAAACAAACGTTCATTTTGTAAATAACAATGAATACCTGAAATGGAAATATCCAGCATCAAATTACCACACAAAAATGACTGTGTGCAAAGTATTATCTAACTTGACATTTTATTTCCTAGGGATGAGGGCTACAGCACTTAAAGAAACCTGTCTTAAATTCTGGTGGACATAAATAGAATGATAATTCGAGAAAAGTTATCTTGTGAAAAGGTTCATCTTTTAAGAAAAAGGAAACTGAAGTTTAATGAATAAAGTATTTAATTATAATAGGTGTTTTTAATGTAAACATTAAGGGAAAGGATGAGCCACAAGCCAGATTACATGGATTAAATAACATATCTAAAAGAGGAGACAGGTAAGATGACTGTTGTAAAGAAAAGAAACATAAGAACTGTACTGCAATTCTGCTAGGTCTCAGATATACAATACCAAGGACTACCAAAGGAGGGTTATCAAACTGGTGCTGGCACTTGAGACACCTGTCTTACCAAGACAGACTAGAAGGTCTACAATTGTCTGTCATATGTAGAGATGCACAGGCAATTCTGAATAAGAATTCTCAACAGGACAGGTTTCTTAGTAAATAGAACTAAAGAAACAAAGGAGTGCAGTAGAATGTGATGGCAGAAATAATGGAAGGTTCAGAGGTAAGAAAAATTTATATTTTTATTATACATGTACTTTATAGAATCCTACTATACATGTAAATTACCTTATGGAGAAAAAAAATTATATTAGCAATAGGAAGTCAAGAAAATAATTTGTATTTAGCAGGTTGCCAAATATAACAGTAAGAGCCAAATCCACCTACATTTATGACAAGAACTGTGATCCTGAGCTTTACTGTAATTATGCAAACGAGAGCGATGAAACTCCTCCATCTCCTCTGCATCCCACGACCTCCATCTCCTCCGAAAGTTATTGCGTTGCTGCTGTGAAATGAATTTAAAAGTGCTTCAACATTTTCAAAGCATTCAAACCCTAATCTTAAACTGTACCTATATAAAATATCTATTCATGTATTTACACAATATTGTACATACCTACATACAATACTATAATTTTTTTTAAATGCATACAGTACCTCTAATATTATGCAATGACACAATTCCAGACTCTAACCTTACACCCCTCTCAACAAATAGCTCTTTCATATGGTACAATCGCCACTTATAATACCAGCTCTTTCTCAGCTAGTTGGGGGCACCTATACGTAAAACTAAATGGGATACTAAAATTTAAAATTTGTTCTATGTAGAAAAAGGACACAACATTAATCAAAGTACTGTACAGAGTTTTATTAATTCTTCATTGTCCAGTCAGGCTTAATGAAGGGAAATGTAAAGAAATAGAGAAGTTGTTAATTTTTTTTTCTGTGACATGCCTGGCAGATATACGGTAATGGTTCATGATTCATTCAGCCTGTGTTTACTTATTTAATTCTGTTGGGATGGTCATATGTTTTAAGATTTGTCTTTGCCATAAACCACATTAATGTTAGGTGTAAAACTTTAAAAAGCTATTTTCCTCTAGTGTTGTCCTTCAATCATACCAGTGAATGATACATCTACTGTACAGTACTATTGATATATCTCAGTACCCTGTATTACAATTCTGCTTCTCTTTAACACTTGTATAGAGTATACATATATACTGTATTATACAATTAACTCACCATGTACTCATCGTTCCTGTATTCTTCCTCAAGTTTTTGTTTCAGGTTTTTCACCAATTGTGTCCTTGGCTCATAGGGGATCCTTTTGGTAAATAGAGGCTCTTCAATTTCAGAACTCAGCACAGGCGATGACAGCTTTCTGTGCAGGGGTCTCCTCGTTTTATGGAATAGTGACCTTTCTTTAGCTTCATTTAAATCTAAGAGTATATGAGCATCATTGTTATGCTTTTCACATAGCTCACAACATTCTTGTTTTCCACTGTAAGAATGCCATCTTCCATATCTCATACACAAGTGACAAGGTTCTTCAAACTCATATTTTGATGAATACTGTTCATGATCTGATGGATATTCCTCATCATGTTCATCTAAATTGTAGTTCATTGTGTTTGATGTAAAAGTACGAGGAGAATCGTCCTTTGATAATTCACAAAGCCTGCAGTATTCTCTACTTTTTCTTAATTGCTGATCTGTCATGGAACGGTCATCATCAAGAGCATTGCCAGACTTTGGGTCATACCCAGGTGAATTTGGTGTGTTATGTGGGTCTAAAGTATAACTGCTATTATGATAGGATGAATAATGGTCATCTGATGAAAGGTTTGGTTGACTGCTGCCTTTCAAACTTTCACTATTGATATTTTCTCTTGGAACATTTAAATGGCTGTGATTTTGATGTTTATTGCTTTTCCAAGATCCAATGTGCTTGCTGGTTTCTTCAGCAAACTGAACTTTTTTCTTTGAGTTCCCTTCATTATTTTCTACTTTATCTTTATTAACATCCAAGTAAATATTTTCATTATTATCTGATAGTCCTTCAACATGATCTTTCGAATAAACATCTAGACCAGGTTTCCAATTCCCATCAAGTATAGATAAAGAATCATCTTTTTCTTTATAATTTTTGCAGCCATTTAGCTCGCCTCTGGGCAATGAACGAGTAGAAACCAATATACGTCTTTGATTGTTGGTCACTGCTGATTTGTGTCTCACTTTACTGACCTTCTTCTTATTGGCAATAGTAGAACACTGGCATTTAGGTCTTAAATGGTTGCAGTTTAATCTCGTTTTTGTTGGGATTCCAGTAACAGTGGTTTTTGAGTGGGGTTTACTCAATTTATCGTTGACTGACTGTAACTGTGTGTGTTGAACTGACTGAATGACTTTGTCCTTGGAAGTAGATTTAAGAGCTGAGGATAATAGAGTTCTTTTTCTTGGAGTCATCTTTGTTCCAACATGTCTTAGCTTTTCCCCTTTCCTAAAAAAACAAGAAGAAAGTAATAGTCTTACAAAGTATCAGGAATACAGTACAGTACATGTATATATATGGACAGTAAACCCTCAGTATAAAGGACATTGTATATATTGGAACCCAGTTACTGACATTAATTTAAAACAAACACTGCAGCTGTTTTACTAATTCAATGATGGTCCTAAACTTGATAAATGCTTTCTGCTGCCAACTATGGTACCCCATGATGACATACAAAATAATATGAGCCACTTGGTTTAAGAGCATATGTCAGAAGTAAGGATTTTCTTCCCCTAGGAATTTGAAATTCAATATTAAATGAAATCAAGAGCAGAGCAATTTACAATACTTACGTGGACATGACAGGTCCATAAAATGTAACCTTCTTTTGGGGTGCAGCCGTTGTATCTTCAGCTTGTCCTTTAATATAATCCCGCATCGTCTCACCAATTCATATGGTGTGCAAAATGCCACTCAAACTGCTGGAAAAGTTAGATATCTTTTTTTTAATGTACTATAGATTATTATAAACTAATATACTGTACACTATACAGTATTCCCTATTGTCTAGGTTAAAAAATGCACAAAAATATACATAAGTACAAAAATTTTGCTCGTACAGTATCTATTCTAAATTAACATACACTAAGCAATACATATGGAAGTTTGTACTCGATGAAAAATACAAAATTATCATCTTGTTTTTAATAGCTCAGACAAGGCTATAAGAGGATGATGAAGAAACCTACAACCACAGCAGGTGTTAATATAGTTTGTGTGTGTTGTGAGCATCATAGCTTGACTGAATGAAAACAGTTAAACACCACTGACGGGTCACGTAATACCTGATAACACTCAGGATCATGCCATGTCTTTCTGTAACATTAAACTACATTAATGCAAAATATTAGGTTCCTAACTGATATAATTTTTAGTGTATGGGAAGTATTTAGGGTTCTTGAAAAAAAAAATCACCCTGTAAAATATTACCATAAAATTTAAGATAAATATTGTATTTTAGGTTAAGTTAGGTAGATCAGTTTGATTCATTTTATACTTGATAAATTATAGACTGGCAGTATCTGATACTTCAGGAATGTTAACAAATGCCAGACGTTTCTGAGAAGGATTGATGGTTCATCTTTTTGTTTGGTAAAAATGTATTTCCTACACCTTTTTGGGATGTTCTTGATAAACTGAAGAACTTTTCTTCTATTCAAATGTTTTCTAACTCACTTCCTTAAGCAAAGTATATTTTTATTTTATACTTTTTTAAGTTTTCTGTAATTGTTAGATTCTATTAGGTTTGTTTTTTGCATGTTTTTACCTCACAATTTCCCTCTACGTACTATGCTTCAATACCCTACCCACTTTGTGGGGTCCGACTAATTACCCAAATGTAGCCAAATACAGCCGGAATGAAGTCAAATAATGGTCCTAGATGAATAAATCGGACTGCCAATCACTTCTCGACAAGTATTTGGTGTCAGAAAGTCACAAAAAATTGGAAAACTTACTTTAATCTGAGTTAATAGATCAAGTGCATGTACCTAACCTAACCTAACCTCGACTAGTATTTGGTGTCACGAAGTCACACAAAATTGGTAAACTTAATTTAATCTGAGTTAATAGATCAAGTGCATGTACCTAACCTAACCTAATCTAATCTAATCTAATCTAATTTAATTTAATCTAACCTAACACAACACAACTCAGATTAAATTAAGTTTACCAATTCTTTTTGACTTTATGACACCAAATAATAATCGAGAAGTGATTCACAGCCCGAATTACGCTTGTACGACCATCATTTGACTTCATTGTGACTATATTTGGCTACATTTGGGTAATTAGTCGGGCCGCACTTTGTGTGATCAAAACTGGTTTTTTTTTAAATAAATCGGTCTAAGAACTAAAAAATATATAAATTTCAGACAAAAACACTATACTTATAGAAATATATAGAGAGTACATGTACAGTACAGTATATTTGGTAATAGTGGAGCAGACTGCTAACATCAGTTGTTCAATTTTGTTCATTATTTCCAAGGATGTTCTTTAGATGATAGTAAATTATAAAAACAATACAACAACGTTTTACTTTAATTATAAGTACAATATTTCTTTTTAGTTTTTCTATCTATCATCATAAATCACCTGTAGCAGGCAGGGTATGAAAGATGAGGTAAACTGCAGAGTAAAACACTGCAAAAACTGAACATATGACACTAATGTGATGCCTTTACGTGCTTTGTACACGAATAAATTAATTTACCGTGAATATTATGCCAAGTAATCTGCCACTGTTTCTTTCAGTGCACTAACAACTACCAAACATAATAAAAATAAAAAGTTGTCGCCTCTCTTAAAATACTTCCTATAATGGTAAGAACATCTATAAAAAAATTTGCGAAATCAAACAACTCCTGGTGGAAGTGCTGCTCTCAAAAATTACAGCCAATTCTTTCTATTCAAGTAGTAAGAATTAATGTTCTATAATATTTTCAAGAGTCTGACGTCTAAAAATATTACCTACATTTGTGTATTTCCAGTATCTCTACATAAAATATATAATTCCCTCACCAGTTAGTGGATAATCTTTCCTCCTGGTCAGATGAAGAGAACACTGGACAGGAATGAAGCAGCTGAGTAAATAATGCAGAAGGAGAATACTGTGTTGTGTTCCTGTAGACGAAGACGAGCCAGGAATGCGGATTCTTTAAATACCTAGACTGAAATTCAGTAATATATATATATATATATATATATATATATATATATATATATATATATATATATATATATATATATATATATATATATATATATATATGTACGTATGTGTGTGGACAATGCAAGTAATCAGGTACAAGAGTACTGTACTATAAATAGGAAGTTAATTTATCTTGGGATAGCACAAAAAGTTTCTAACATTCTGAACTAGTTTTATTGACACACCCGACACTGATGACCGGGTTATTTGCTGAATAAATTTAATAGACCTGTAGTCAAGGAAGATAGAAGTTCCATGTCTGTAGGAAGGAATTGGAAAAAAAAAATAATAAGCCCAGAACTTGTCAAGTATTTTTTTCAAGTCCATACTGGGTGCTACTAAAGCGTGCAGTCAACAAAAATATATTCTAGTCTAACCTAACCTAATCTCACCTAACCCAACTTAATGCAAATATCCTGAAGACCTCACATTTACAGTAGCACCCAATACTGTATACACTGTATTGGAGGCACACCACCTGTTCTGTTTAGGTGATCTGCTCCACACATCCACAATGAAAAAGTTATTTTGTCTCACCTTTGTGTGCGGATGTATCATGAACAACCTAAAACTATGACTCCTGTAATCTTTAATTTTGACTTTACCTTTTTGTAACCAACCTTTATATAAGTGTTGGTGGTACTGTGGTATCACGCCTATCCCCTCACCAATATGTCAAGGGTTCATGCCCGGACACACATGAGAACTGTGTTATCCAGCATGACCCTCAATACCAAACATTACAGGTTTCCTAGCCTCCAGTTCCTCTTGTATTAACACTGTATAGATCAACTGCCCGAATGGCTAGTGAGCTGATAAGTGGTGAAAATTATAAATAATTCAAAGATTCCTAGTTTGCTGTACAATGAAGTTTATAGTCATGGTATGTCATAACTTTTATTAACTGGGTAAGCAACCCAAAGCAATCTGTGCAGTTATCCAAATATAATTATATTTTTGTCACCTAAGTTTTATGGTAATACAGAACATTATTTTCTGTTATCACCTACACATCCTAAACCCATGATGTCAGGATATAGTTTAGAACTACTGAACAGCATACTGTACTTTACATTAGAATTTACATTTACCAAATGCCCTCCACCCTCTTCAGCATTGTACTGTACAATAATGTACTGTGGTACTGTCTGCTGTGCATTTTTAAAAGATTGTACATTTTCCACTGTGGCTTTCAGTACAGAAGATAGCAATCATATCTACAGATGATACAATTTAATGTCGATTACTATAAAAAAGCAGCTAACTCATATGGTTGATCCGGCAGAAAAAATTTACCTATATACTGTAGTACAGTACATCATACAGTATCAGTATAAATAAAAGAGAAATTTCTTTGTATTTATAATTATTAATCAACCAGTGCAAGTTCATCTACAAAATAAATGTTTCCTGTAACAAATTTTCATCAAAATACCAAAGAACTCACAGTAAATAAACATACACTACAAATATTGATGACAACACCTTTCATCAGTATTAGAAAAGTGTAAACCTAAATAAAGTACTGAACTGTATTTAACTTGGGATCAAATGTTGATTCACAGAATCAAACACAGAAAGAACACATCAAATCATAATTGCATAACATCAACACCAGACAGTGCACACAGCACTAACTTATAAAACAAACAAAGCTTTCTCAGTAAAAGTCTACAGTGCCACACTTTTTGGTCAAAATATGGATCAGGTGGTTACACCTTAACAACATGTAAATACTGTACAGAGAACATGAAAAATGAAATACACAAGTTCATAAAGGTGTTCATAAGTGCTAATTTTTAAAGATAAATTTGTACAGTACAGTCTATGTAAACAAAATTATGCAGTATAACTAAATTAAATCAAGCAAAAATTAAAAAGAAACTGATGGGTGAGTGTACAAACCAAACCAATGCATTGTGAAGGAGTTCAGAAGAGTTAAGTAATAAAATGAAAAAACTTCAAGGTAAAAACAGAAAAATAGTGGTGGTGTCTGAAAGAGTTAATTGTGAGAAATAACTGATATTTTGGGTAATTAAACTAATACATCAATTCCTCTTAACAATTGGTTACATTAATATTTTCAGCTAAGACGAAAGCACAGGGGCAGATTCTTTTATTGGGAGCTTCAGCAATTAAAAAGACAAGGTATTATACATTGAAATGCATCACACATAAGCTCAAGTACAGCAGTACATGTATGTAGAAATTAGGGGTCACCAAATCAAAGATTTCAGCTAATGGGCACTTGTATTTTACTTAAAATAATGTACTAGATAGTCCCATTTCACACTAAGCACAGCAGAAGAAATTATATTTAATCAGATATTCTATTAACTGTTCAAAAGGCCCAAAGGGGATATAAAGACAATGCTCAAGAGGTCTCAGGTTACACTACAAGGTGTATACCATTATATAAATGGAATAAATTATAATGACTTGAGAAACAAGATGACTACGAATACATTTAGCTTTACAAAGATTGAGGAAACAATTTCTTATTAGATAAACAAATATATAGCTCCAGAAATAATTTCAACTACGTACTTTAGATGTCGGTTTCTGGCACACCTGTCAATTTTGGCAGCTACTAATTCAAAATTAAAACCCTTAACACTTTTATATACATATATATGGGTTTAAAATGACTGGCATCTCTACAGGAGTAAGGGATGGGATGGGAACTATCACCTATCCTTTGTTTTTGGAATATAAGTTTTATTTCCACTAGTTGGAGTTTTCATGTTTACTGAAGTTGCTGGCTTCCAGTAAATGTGAAACAATGGTGTTAATCTTTGGTTTTTGTTTCATCATTTTTAATTCATTATGGCACCACATCTTGACACTAGATGTTTTTTTCTAAATAAATAAATACCTGTGCATGTGTCCTGCTAAGTCTTTGTTGATCCCTTGGGGGTACAGCAGTAATGTACATATCTCTCACTATTGTGTCCTGGGTTCAATCCCCAGCCCAGGACAGATGTAAGAAGGGCATCATCCACTATGACCCTACCAAATAACATAGGTTTTCTCTGGGCACACCAGCTTCCTTCTGTACTAAAACATTGGATAATAAAGTTCATAAGGTAAAAAACAGACCAACTGGCCAAGCAGCTAGCAAGATGATAAGTTGCAAAATAATAAATACAAAATGTACAAATATAACTTTTTACCTATAATCCGTGCCACATACATAGGTATACGAGTACAGTATACAGTATAGTTTCCTGCAATATTTGAACACAGACCTCTTTTTACTAACATGTGCTTCGTTCAAATGTTGCCACACAGACTGCTCAAAATCATTCACCAAAGGTTGCAAATAATTTTTTTACATTACAAATGATTTCCACTGATCTCCATTTTCATATTTTTTTCACTGACATGTTTTATAGCTATGGCAATATTTTACTAAATCCTACAATCAATGGCATTAAAATTTCTGCACAAATCTTCTCCATATACAGTATATTTCATCATAAAGTACAGTACAGTATTGCTTGCTATTTTATTGTTTTGTACTTATTTGTCACTGTCACATTTATAGGAGCTGGGTTTAAGCCTATGCAAAACTGATATACAGTACAGTACAGTATGTTCACAACTAAAGTATACATTTGGATTATTTTCAAACACACTACAGGTTCAAACCAGTAAATATCCCTCTCCCTTAGGACAACAATTCAGTCACCAGTGGGAGGTGAACGTAACTTACAAGATATGCTTCATCACATTGCCAACAACACAGCAAGCATAAATACATCTCACTGCATTTGCTTACATTTATCTTTGCTGTACACTCAATGAAAACTTAGTTGTATATAGTACTGTATTACATTGTCTCCTTTTATAATATTGCTGAACACTGCAAGCATTTAAAAATTCGTAGGTCAATTACTGTATCTAATAAATTACATATACAGTATGTAGAGCTTATCAATAACATTTAGACTTACTAGAAAGGACACCTCCCATAATGGTTGGATATGGTGCAGAAGCTACAGCACAATACACTGTCACAGTTTGTCACTTTTATATCCTAGAGTTTATCCTTGATTACACCAAACTCTACTGTTACTCAACTAGAGAAGCAAGTTAGAAGAGTGTACTGATAGAGGAAACCATGAAAACTGCAGCCTTCAGTTTGCTAAGAGTACAGTTAATTAATATTACTACTGTAGTACTGTCATTGCAGTAAGATGCAAATTTCATTATCCATTTAGCCATGAGATATGGTTCCCTCAATATACTGATCAAATTAATAGAGTTGCTAACTAAATATAAAGGGGGTATCTTATTTAGAGGCATTCCATGGTCAATATCTATATATAAGAGTAACAATGTTTTCCCTCATTAAAACTTTTAACATTCTTCATGCCTAAAGTATTACTGTACGAGCTCAGAGTGCACCACATTAAAAATATGCCTAGTAACAGCATTGAACCCATGTCTCATGGGTTGAGACATACAGGTACTTAATTCTACTTGAAGACTCGTTCCTAAACCCAATAAATGGAAAAAATAAAAAATAATCAGGAACTAACAGAATTATTGAAACGCTTAAACGACCCAGTATGTTTCTTGTAAAGCATGCAGGGATAGAGGTGCTTGTATCACTTCCCTTACATTTCATGTCAACTCGTGCAGTAAAAACTTCACACCATTATGTCAACATATTTAACCAGCGCCATTAATCATCTATGTCAATATTCTGTACCTCTACTATAGCATAAACCAAGATCTTTAAAACTGTTAACACTTCCATTACTAATCAATATCACCTGCATACTTTTTTATTCTTTAATACATTTTTAATGAACATTCTCTATCCATTACAGGTTTTGTCCACTGAAGCTTTACCTCTCGCCTAAATAAATTCATTATTTTTCAATCCATCACAGGTTGTTTTTGCTGCCATACTTAATGACAAGTTATTTTGGATGACACCATTACTGTAAACTCAATTGTCTGTTGACTAAATTCTTTTCATCAAATCCAATACTGTACAAACTTTCTGACACTCAGCCGTTTTCTCTGTCGCATCATTGATGCATATGACTGGTGTGAAAGGCCTCGAAATGTGTTTAATAAGCCCATGTGTGGTAGCTAGCTGCCAAATGACTGAGAAAAAGGCTAAAAATCTTCAAGTTCATATTTACAACTTGCAAGTAGCTTACACCATCTCACTAATTTGCAGGATATGCACTAAGTCAAGAGCAACACTCATCACTTCTGAAAAATATTAATATTTGCTCCTCAATGTGAACTGAAAATTCCATAACATTACAGATAATCGATCTGGATATATTTTGTGCTGCATAACATGCACTGACAACTTTACTCAAAATAATTTATTACCAGATTATATAAAAACGATAACAAATTTGCTGAATATAAACAACAAGCAAACAATCTGTTTAACTCACATATCAAGTCCGGTACATTATTCTGTATAAGTACAGTTAGTCAAAAGTAATCCTCCATCCCTCGTACTACCATACCTGCAAGCTCAAGGCTACATGATGAGCCACAAGGAGGGGGGAGGGTATTGATGATGGGAGAACTAGGGGTGAGGTAAGAGGGTGCAAGTGAAGGGACACATATGTAGTGAGTGTGTTTGTGGTCAGAATTATCCTTAACACCTGAAGAAGGTGTTAAAGTTGGTGGATATAGCTTGACATTGACAGCTTAATGACCCTGGCAGGTGATAGGCCTAAAGCCCAAAACTACCAACCAGGAGAGTGGATATCCAGGGAGGTGTCATATGGACTTAATTTTCCCTTAGTTAACTGTGCCTTTACTTGAGATGCTGGGGAGGAATGCGAGGAAGCTTTTGGCAGATAAGGTGTCTGGCTTCCATGAGGAAAGCCTCTATGACAACATAAGAGAGGAGGGGGCGTGGATTTGCTCTAGGCCTTGTTCACTACTAGGCTGTTACTTGATCACTTCCTCCTCTTGCTGCTACTTTTCTTGGAGAAAAAAAAGTCACTTGACAAAAAAAAAATTGATAATGAATTGTAGGATAGAATATGTCTTGACCACCCTGTAATAGGTTTATTAGAGCTGCAAAAATCAATGCAAAGCGAGATGGTGGTAGTGGCAATGTTGATTGGCCACTGCTCCACACCCAGCCCAGAATGGAAGCTAAAGAACAATGATTGGCGAGTCGCGGGCAAATTCTCAGTTTGCACACGGCTGGCTATAATGTGTCAGAAATTGCAAGGGAGGCATACTGCGAGATGTTGGTTAACCTGCTGGGAGGAATTTGGGAAACCGACCGCAGTGAGTATTTTTGATGGTCTGCTGGTAGTATATTTGATATACAGTATTAACATAACTAATTTTTGGTGTGTAAAGAAAACAAAACACATTTGAACTCTTAATTAATATAAAAGATGCAATTTTAAGCCAAGAAACCACGACTGACAGGCGAGGAGGACATTGAGAATCTGTGTGACTTGTATTGGTAAATATTAAAAATAAATGCGATTTACACCACCGTATTCAATATTTCTCCTCGTATCAATGTTATTATGAATATCTAATTACCATTGTTTAAAACCTGAACATCAACCTGAAAAAATTATGAATAAGGAAATGGATGGCACATTATAATAATCATAAAATAGGGATCTCATCCATTACTCTTTCAAGCATGTAAACCTAAGATAATATAGTGGAGAGGGAAAAAACAACTTAGATCTATCCTTCCCTTCACTCTTTCATGAATTTCCCTGCCTTCTTCAAACCCCGCCCTCTCTGATGAGCAATTTGCATCACATACCCCCCTTCCCTCTACGTTGACCAATCTCCCTCTTCACCCCACGTGACTTACCGTGTACAAAAGACCCGGCCGGGCACAGGGTTAGGTGGTGAAGTGAATGATTACTTTTGACTGTAACTGTACATTAATTAATGATATATGTAGTGTACTGTACAAACTAAATATTAAAATAACTTATAAATTTTTATCTAATCACTAATAATCATCAGAAAAAGTAAATGTATCAAGTACTGGATATACTCGGTATGGCGGTCGTATTGATGGAATGTGCAAGCAAGGTGTCTACTAAATTCACATTTGCAAAAAGTATGACCTTGTAGGACCTTTGTTCCTTAAAAAGTAGGACTTTTGTAGGACCAAAATTTTATTAAATATGATCTGAACTGCAAATTTGGTACATTTACAGTATTTGGATTTTTTTTAGTGACTTGGCAATCGTTTATGTAAAATAAACCTGTTTAAGCTTTACATTTTTGTCCCCTACCCAATTTAAGGCCGGGTAAATTCAGAACTTCATTATGCATTCTTGGCAACTGATAATAACCTTTATTATTATTATTATCAAATTATGAGATCAAGACACTCCCAGGAAGGTAGGTAATGTATTAACAATCACTACAGTGACCCCCAGAAGCATCATGAAAATGGCAAAATTCCAAATTACTTATTAACGATACAATTAGGCAGAATAAAGGTCTAAACTGGGAGGACTAGCCTTTTTTTTGTAGGGGCATGATTTTTATTTTATTTTATAATTTTAAGACAAAATAGGTATCAATAAAACAATGAAAAAAAAATAGGATTGTATGCTAACCTTGCAACTTGGATACCTGCTGAAGTACACAATATGACAGAAGCCATAATTGCCTACTAACTTATTTAGTTATTGTTGAACAGCATTCATAAAACCTTAAACATGAGAATGCAAATATTATACCATACTGTACTGTAAAGCTAAAGAACTATGCATGTTAACTTATACTGTACAGTTACTTTGTATTTGAATGTCTCCTTTTGACCTAGAAAATTATAAATTAAAATAAAACTTTCTGTATAACCTATAGGAACTCAATAGTATGGCATTGTTCTAAAAAGTATGACTTCTACTAAAAAATTATGACTTAGTAGGAATTTTGTAGGTTCCCTAAAAAAACCATGACTTTGTAGGACTGTAGCACCTAGTAGACACCCTGCTGTGTTGTTAATGGTATGGTATGGTTATGTTTTTTAAGTCAGAAAGAAGGCCATCTTAGTAACCATCAATGTATAGTCTGCCCACCAGGCATGCGCATTGGGCTGCCGTACCAATAGACATCAATGTTTCACATACCTACAGTATATCCTGTGCCAATATATTAACGTACAGTATCTAAGTTACTTCAAACAAGACTCTTGCAGAGATGCAGCAAAATTATGAAAATATAAACAAGTTACATTACGAACAACATGCACTGTTGTATCTAAAGTTTAAACTATAATGGAAAAACGGTGTTTTCATTACCAGTACTATCCTGAGTTTCATTTTTTAATTATCAGGTTACAAGAAAGTTTCTTCTTTAGACCACCATTGGCACAAGGGTTCATTAGATCACCGTGTTGTTGAGACAAGTACTGTTGTGTAGCTAGGATCAGGTAAATTATGGTAACCTACTTCTACAAATGCAAATACAGTACAGGTACAGTACAAGCAAATTTCATTCAATTCATCACCAATGCCTGGAAGTTAGACAAATGATTGTTACAACCTTGTATTACATTAAAAATCATCCAGATCATTGCAAGAAGAGGCTGTAGTCAGTATCAACCAACAGCGTTTCATCCAGGAAGCTGGGCAGGACACGTGCTGTTTTCTCACAGCTTGTCACTGCTATCATTTGTTCCAGGCTAACTGCAATGACACCTATGGGATTAAACATTAGTTAGTTTCAAATCATAATGGGATATTATACATACACTGACATTTAATTGTTTTTAACCTTTACAATCCCTTTCCCACTACTGAATAAGGTGGCCCAGACTCTTTCCCTCCTTAGCTGTCATTCACTTACTCCAACTGCCTTACCAGAGGAGTTATGCTGAGGACTTCATCTAATTTGCTGGTCCATTCTTACTCCATTTCTCCATCCTAGCATTTTGCAGCATGTCTATAAAAAATGAACTGCCATACTTGTCAGTCAATCATGCACAACAGTATTCCTTGGATGACCATTGCCTTTCCATCCAGTACTCCCTTCACCCCATCCTTCCACATACTACTACATATATTTCCCCTCCCTCCCTCTCTCTCTCTAAGTTATATAATCTTTCTTTTTTTCTACTTAACTTTAGTGCCCCATCCCTTCAGCCCATACCCTCTGTGCCTCTTTGGCAAAACTTAGTTAGCTCACTACTAAACACTCGTTTCACTTCCACATCATCTTCTTATCAATGTATTTCTTATTCTTTACAACCAGTAATTCATTCCTCTTCATTTCAACCTCAGTCACAACACACATCATGCCATCCTAGTGTTTTAAGTTACTACATCTGTAAGATACATATAATAATAGAATATACAATTCCACCCAACAATTACCAGCATGTGAACAATAAATATACAATAATGAAGTGTAATATACCAAGTCCTTATCCCTCAAGTAATAAATTAAAAACTTAATAAAGTTCATTGGATACCAGGATCAAGCTGGGATCTTAGTACAAGTGTGAAAGATATGTACTGTCCATGGTGTGTGAATCAGATTTACAGTAAAGCGATTATAATCACAGCAAAGTTTGGATACCTTAGGCAGTTCCTGCGATATTAGCAGATCCATTTGCAGGGATGGACTTGCCCTTGAAGTAGCGAGTCTCCTTGTATAGGAACCAAAGGTTACTTCCCCACAAGAAAGTATTCAGGAACCCCAGAAGCTGTCAATTCACAAATTCATAGTACAGTATAGTATGGTATGGTCTAAAAATTTGGGTAACAATTTTGCCTCATTATTTACTCTACATGAAAGTCATTAATCAAATTCACATTTTTCACTGTAGCAATAATAATGCATTAAACTACTGTCAGGATCTGTTAAGATACTTACCACAGAAATTAAAACTTTTGCATAATTAGGTTCTTTTAAAGCAGTACAATTGTCAGAGTTACAAATTTCTGGATTTAAATCAATGATTTTATGAACTTCACTAACACTTTTTATATCTGTATTAACGTCAGCCAAAGCACTGCTGGCAGCTAGCCAAAGAATTACAAAGACACCATGAATAGCACAGTCCTGAAACATGAAACAAAGGCACATCATTAACTCAAGTTTATTATTTACTTACCAAGAACAAATACTGTATCAAGAAAAGGTCTGTGTTCTAGCTATAAGTATACACAGTTGAACACGAAAGTTTTGGGTGGAGAAGACTGAATGCCAATTATGGGTACAGTATAAATAACTGAATGCTGAATACAGACTGAATGTTACAGCATTTAAAGTAAGAAAAATATAAATTGCTCTCCTGTGTACAACATTCAGTATCAAAAGATCAAAGAATGCAGGTGAACCCTCTTAAGTTTAAGATATACCAAACAACAAATTTAGAAGTTATGGGTTATGTTCAGTACAGTTTGCAGTTTTCTATTTTAGTTTTAAAATAGGGGGGCTATAAAACAATACTAGAAAGCAGTCTGGGATCTTTCAAAAATCAAGAAAAAGCTTTACAAGATCAAACATTTTTTTTAATTCTACTATTAAAGGAGACAGACACAGGCATTATACATCTTAATGTTATTCAAAACTAACAGAAAACTGACAGATCAGCTTTAAATGTACCCTACAATATTTTTCTGTACCCAGCAACTTGAAAATAAGGCTAGTACATTTATTTACCATTTTGATGAATGAAATAACTCGCACTTTGTTTTAATACAGTACAGTACAATTGTAAATATTCACTACATTACCTTGTTGAAAAGTGTAAAAAATTCCCATAAATATTTTCATTCACTTTTCAGTGAATAAAAGGTTTACTTATTACCTAAAAATAAGCATTGTGTGGAGTTTCAAAATTTAATTGGTTGCCAAAAATTTAAAATCCTAGAAGGTAACTTGCCCTTAACCCCTTCACTATGGGAGACACCACTTAACACTTTATTTGGTTAACACCAGACGATTTTATTCATCAGACAGGGGACCCCGTAAACAAGTGGTTAACAAAGCTGCACTTACTATGATGGGAACTCGATCATCATTGTCGTACAGGCTACTGCAGAAGGTGTACAGGAACAGTGCAGCGAGTGTATAGAGGAAAGCCAGAACTCCAACTGCGACAAAAAATTCCGCAATAGAAGAGAAGTCTCCATTTAAGTGGAGATTATCCTCCTTGTTCTCACAATACGTAACTTTTGTATTTATGGCATCAAGCCTAGAAACAATGAGAAAACAAAGCATTATGAAAAACAGAACTATTTACCAGTATAGTACTTAAAACAAAAAAATTTGCTTTTACCAAAACATTGTTCGGTACCCAGAATCAGCATGACACCTTGAACATATATGAAGCACTCTGGGTAATACAGGAGAATTAACCAACTTAGACCCAACTGAAAAAAAAAGTAACATGCTAGTCAGAAAGCACACTAAATTTACTATTATTTGATGCCAGTTTCAACCAATTTCGTAAAGTGCATTAGAGATACACACAACTTAACGTGCGCAAAACAAAACCGCTCGTATTTTCAAAAATGATTTTGGTTGATGTGTCCCCTTTATCCCCATAATTTTGGTCTATACTCTATTGGGTTTAGTCACCCATGAATCTACTAGAACTAAATAAAAACAGAGGGTGAATTGTCTCCCTGATTGGTCTATTTCATGATAACAACCACAATAAGGCCCCCCCAACAGATGGTCTGCTACTCTAAAATACCATTTAAATTAAGTTTATTTTCTATCTTGTTTATTGTTTATCTTGCTTTTATCCACATCTCTGTTCTTCACGCAATGCTCTTTTTATTTCTTGCAGAACTTTTCCCAATTTGAAGTAGGGTGGCCAGAATCAAGGGTAAACACTCTCCCTTCATTCTTTCTACCTGCCAAGAGCTAAGTTATCGATACCAAAACTTAGATTACTCAGATCATTTGAAAATAAGGTACCCTAGCTTAGTTTACCTAATGGTTAAACACCCTTATGCAACCTGGGGGATTAGGTTAGACTAAGTGAGGTTCGGTTAAGTTATGAGAGGTTAGGTTAACGTTAGGGTGTTTAGGCATCAGGTGAAATAAGCCGGTGTGACTAATCTTCAAATGGTCAAAGTATTCCACCTGGAGTGAAGTACTCCATACCTGAGTGGTAGTGAGTGCACTGTTTGGAAAAAATCTAACATACCAATATGACCATCCCCTCAAGTAATTTTCCTTTGGCATCATAGATACAGGAAATTTGTATCTAAAAAGCAGTACTGAATTCATAAGACCCCTTGTCTTTATATTTTTTTTAGCAAGCAACCTTATCCTTGAACCTTGTCACATCTATATCTATAATCGAGAGAGAGAGAGGCATAAAAGATGTCAACTACTGGGTAGTTCCTTAATAGCTACATTACTAAGCCGAAACTCATTAGCTTATCTTCATATCCTAGTCTTAGTCACTTAGTCACATTCATTAGTGGGTACTCCCATCTTAACAGTAAAATAAGTTATCGACTAAATTTTGGACAAGAAAAAGCTACAGTACTTACTCAAAAGGGTAAGTAATATCATGGGTGATTGTCACATTATCCCCCTTATTGCACTCCACGAAAAATGAAAAGGACGTTCTGAAGTCTGTGGTTGTCGCAAATGCACAAATTCCAAATATCTGAAAACACAACGAAATTTTAAGATAAAACAAAGAGAAAATAAGCATAGTCTAACAATCTAACATCTGCTACAAAGCTAATACTGTATCTTACCAAACAAAATGAATCTATTTACATCTGTAGTCTCTAGAGATGTGATTAATCATAAAGTGCCTGGATACTTTTGTGCTTCTCTTTCTAGAAGTTGTCTGTATACTATATACCAGTAATTCAAGCTTCATAGTACATAAAAATACATTTAGCTTGGCTCAATTTACTAAGAAATACAGTATACAGGTATGTATTAACTTCTCAGTAAGTGTGAAGCTATTTGAATATTAGTATGACCAAGAGAGAGCACATGAATGTGTAATGAGTGCAAGTCATACGCAACAGAACAGAAAAATACACATCCAGCCCTGCAGACGGCCTACTTTTGTCAAATACAGGGGTGGCTACACACCTTCTAGAAGCAAGGGGACTACAACAATCCAGCGGTGGGTGGCAGTGACTTCTGACCTTGAGGATTTATCTAAAAGAATAAATTAGGCCACCTCTTCCATGTCTACACTCCATGCCATAAAGCTAATTCATGTTAAAAAAAAAACATTACTGGCCAGTTTTGTACCTAAGTGCTACAAGGCTGAGACTAGCATATATTCTCTTATGGATTTTATACTTATATACTTAGTCTTCATAAGAAAATTAATCTATTAAGCACTAGGTTTTGATTGTGGTGCTTTAAGTTAGGCCAAGTGAAATGAAGTTTAATGAAAATTTCTATACCTCATAATTTGTCCCTGTGACTAAAGTTATTCTCAATAATTAAAGTGTACTACTATGAATTACATGTATGTGTGAATAATTTTTCCTACTTTCTAAAATCTAACTCCATAATCTAACTAATATAATTTTTACTTTCTTGTTGAGGAGGAATATTTGGAAATAGTCACTTCCAATTCATCTACAGTACATGTATTATTAACATTTTACTTTTTAAAGCATTCACCAAAAAGACATAAATTAAGCATCTTCCCATACAAATACCCCCCTCCCCCACACACACTACCCTCGCATACACACACCACTCCCACACATATACCCACATCCCCACCACACCCACATCCCTCCACATCCCACCCACCCCCTCCACATACACACAACTCTAAAACCAAAATCCATAACTGTACTTACAAACTGAAAAATTTTAATGAATGCCCGCGGCTCCTTCAATACCCTCAGGTTCAGGTGTGTAAATATTCCCTGTAAACAGAAAGACATTATCACCCTACTGTATCAAATAACAATGGCATACAGCATTGACAAACCAAGTCAAAACAATAAAATGGCATTTCTTATACAGTCCCTTACTTGTATGCTGTACTGTACTGGCATAATGAGGGTCAGAGTAAATTCCATATACAGTACCTATACTGTACAGCTTAAAATGGCTTTCCTAAGTTATTTCATGGTGTAATAAAGAACACAAACAAATAACGTACAGTGAACCACATTAAACAAAAAAGAGAGAAAGGATAATTGACCCTAAAATTCTACACAGTTATCTGGACCATAGCTGGAAGGAGAATTCATTTAAACCTATTAATCATGCCGTCAAGATATCATATAAATTCTAAACCACTGAAGATTGAGTCTGGTAGCAATACTGTACTAGTATAAGTCTCCCACATGTCATCGTCACAAATAAAATACAATACTGTACAGGGTAATACCATACCTGCAGAGGTATTTTAGGTTGTTCCATATATACTGGTGGTGGCTGCATGTAATGGAAAAATCTTTGGTTATCTAAAATACATGAACACTATATCAATGAATCATGAGACCATCCGAGTTAAAGCCTTCAGAATACAGAGCGGGGAGAGGAGGGGATGGTTCTTTAGCCACTGATTGGGTTAAAACTGCCTCTCACGACCACTATGAAGATCTTGTTGTGGGTATTTTCAAACCATCTAATTTTCACATGCTCACCCTTTTTTTTTCTTTCTCGGGCTTCAGGAGGACCTCATCATCCCTTCTGGCTGTATTGTAAGTTTATAACTAAAAATTTATTAAAACTCATTCTTCTTGCATCTCAATTAATCAAAGTACTAAATCCTCCACGATTTTGTATTTCTCTGGGGACCCAATTTTTCATTTCAATCATCCATCCTAGTCTCTGCCTTCCCCTGGCCCTTCTATCCTCAACTTTGTTAATTAATATTTTTTATTATCCTCTCATCCATAATTATATGACCAAAGTACTGTATCTCATTTTTTTTCTCTGTACATTTCAAGTTTTTACTAATCTTAGTACAGTACCCCTGTACTGTACTTCACTTGTTTTCCTATCACTAACTTATTCTTAACATTTGCCTATTACACCAAATTTCAAAGGCCTCCAGCTTCTTTCTGGTGTCTGCTGAAAGTGTCCATGCTTCTGACCCATACGTACAACAGTCCTTGCCATATTTAGCTTTTCAGAAGCATTTATTCTCAAACTGAAGTTAATGTTCCCTGAAATAAGGTCTTTTAAGATTATTAAATGCTATTTTTGCTTGACCTATTCTTGTGATTTCTTTTGCACATCTGCCAATACAGCTAATGTTACTTCCCAAATACTGTACATAAAATTTCCATGTTTAGATATGCCTAGGGTGTTGTTCAAACCACGTACAGTACTTGCAATTATCATCATCTTTTCCTTACAAAAGTCAATTAATATTTCTCATCTCTTATTTATATTACCTAACCCAACATATACAGTACTGTAGTTTTATCATAACAATTTAAAAATCTTTTCAGAAATAATTGATTTTACTTCTCAACATTGCCAATAAATATATACAGTACATTAATTCGGAAATCAATCACATTTCATAGCTACATTTCACGAATGTAACTTCTAGTACAGTACTGAACAGTCACACCCAAAAAGTCTGTCACCTCTCCTGCTGTTCCTTGAACCCCGAGATTCATTCTCGAGAGCCCACTGCATTATTCTGTCCATAATGCTTCAGATTCATGAGTCTCAATCTTGGGGCTTGTGGTTCAGGAGGAGAGGCAACAGGACCTTTGTGGGAGACTGTACATTACACTTGATACTGCATATATCTAGGCATACTTTATTTGTCATTCACATAAATATACTGCACAATATATATTATATCAACATACCTGCTGATCATACTGCATAGGCATTGGCTGCATGTAAGGGATACACCAATTATTTAAACACAAAATAAAATCAATAATATTCATGATAATTGCCAAAACTTATACTGTACAATATACAGTAGTACCTAAAATGTAAAACAGTAGTAATCTCTCTGTTAGCTCAAATCTTCAATTCCCAGAACTCTCCAATAGGTAGAATGCTGGAATTTTTTTTTAGCATTCCGATAAATTTCAGAAAAATTTCTCCATTCTGGTTATCCAAACAAATTCATGAGAATTGAATCATGCACATTAAAAAAAAAATATCTGAGAAAATCTCTCCGTTCCGGGCATGGGAACAAATTTCCAAGAGATTGCATCATGCTTAAGATGCAGACACACATGGGTGGGTAGGCTCAGAGTGCTCATGAGCTATGATTGGCCACTAATGTCATATGACTGCCTGGGATGCCTGTGATTGATTAATGTAACTTGCAGTGTATCCCCTTAAACTCTTGCATCATGACTCTTAGTTCATTGTCTGCTGCCATTGTACCAGTACAAACTTGTTCACTCGCTCACTGCTGTTTTTGCATACAATCCGTGTTGTTCAGTACTGTACTATGCTGTACAGTACTATACAGCAGTAGTGTAGAGGGTGTATAATCTATATATACAGTGCATGTTCAATCCCTCCTTCATGGAGGGAGAAAAGAGCAAGTTAACAATACAGTACTTCCTAAAGTAAATGGTACAGGACAAAGGCAGGATATCCTCTATCATCATACAGTATTGTATCATCAAATGGCCTGCCTGCATCACAAGCTCAAGACAACAGCCTCTGTTGATGAGTAAATTATACTGCAAACAGTACAGTACAGTAGCATGTTTTGTTTATTCACAATTTATTTGTACCTGTACAGTGGTGTTTGCATAAATAAATACAGCTCTCTGTCTGTGCCAAGATGCGTAGTGTCCAGGGATGAGAAAAATTTGTCTCTACACCCAGAAGTCTCTCAGCACCAATTATTCTGGCTAGCGGGGAGATTACTTATAAAGGGACATTTTTGTAATGTGTACTTTTTAGTTTCCATTAGTTGCCTCACTTCTGAAGGTAGTAAAGAGTCAGAAGTGAACCACTAAATTTCTTGTCACAGTAACAATATAATAAATTTTCACAACTTAGAAAGAGTAGTATAGTTTTATGAACAAATTGTATAAAGTACTGTAATGTACTATACAGTACAGTTATAATTTATTTTTAATTTAACTTCATTTTAAACAAAAGAGCAAAAATATCAGTATCCAAAGCCCTTACAAAGAAACGTCAATATATACCGGGACAGCATCTGAGAGCAAACTAGATTAGAATACAGTATATTACTTGTGAAAATTATTTTATAACATTTTATTAAACCATTCCTAGCAATAGGCCCCTTGCTTATTCCAGGAAAAGGTTAAGAAATGTAATTTATTAAGTACAGTAAGTAAAGTACAGTAGCCTGTACGTACATTGAATTGTCACTCAAAATATTCTTAATTTTATTTCAGTCATTGTCATGAACTCTTAATTTCTGGATGATTATTAATAATTTACTTTAATTTCCCATGTGGCTTATATCTTAAGACATAACATGCACTACTGACACAGTAGGAAAATGATTTAAATACTGTAATGTTAAACAGGGCAGCTAAAACAAAATCATCAAAAACAACTGTGTCCACCTTAGGAAGACACTTAAAATACGAGATGTTGTACAAACATTTCTAAGCTGTTCATTTGCCCATGCAGATGGTTACCATTAACCCTTTAGTGACGATTGCAGGAAAATATTGGGTGACAGCCGAGACGATGGATTTTTTTAGATTTAAAAAAAATCTTAGAAATATATTAGATGGTTTTAGCTCACTTCTGGCTATACCAAAACACTTGTAAAAAAAAAAAATCCACAGCTAGTCATATTTAATGCATAATGGACAATCAAATCAATACCTTTTCAGTGTGTGGTAGTCATAAAAGCACTAACAGAGATTCATATCACACTTGGAGCAGTAGGCAGTACAGTACAGGACAGGACAGTACTGTATATGTATTCTGACTCTTGGAGGATCACATTTTGTGTGTTGACACACATGACTGGCCACAGCACCACAAGTAATCATTCACATGGGTGGGAAAAATTATAATGCAACAGTTGTGGGAATCGTCACTAAGGAGTTGATGTTTAGTTATAAACAATGCAATTGTTAAAAAAATGCTTTTAAATCATTATTTTGTAATTCTATCCATGATAAATACAATAAAATGTTTGGGTAAACTCAATAAAGCTCATCAGGATTCAAACAAAGATTACAAAAAATAAACATACGGTGTGCATACAGTACACAGTACAGTATACAGTACAGTAGTATGTCAAATAAAAAAATAAAAAAAATTAAACATGCTGATACTGTAAACAAGTTCATGTACAGTACAGTATGTACAGTACTGTACTGTATGAACAATTATTCTTTTCATTACAATCATTACAATGTCCAAGTCTGAGGCAAGCTTAAATTTGTGATTTAACAATGTTGGCTCTTCTAAAATCAACTACTGTTCATATACAGTAAGTCTGACAACTAAGAATTTTACCCCAAGTCTTCTTGGCCTTACTCCTAAATGGTCCATGTAAAATCTGTGTCGAGCACCTGCATTTTACAAGCAGATGGCTGGGCTGTTACACTTGCAATGGAAAAGTAAGATCCCCATTAATCACAGCAATGTGTCCATATACTGTACCAGTACATATTTGACTTGGTACTCAAGGACTTTAAGACTTATGGATAAATGAGAGTTGTACTTGGAGTCTGTGAAATCTGTAATATTGGTGGCACTTGAAGGGTACAGTACTTTGGATCATAGTTGAAGTGCGATGCAATACTGGACAACAAACACCACCATCTTACCATGTTCACAGTCTCCAAAGCATAAGTGATTTCAAATAAAAGCAAGTACTGTACTGTACAGTACAATAATGCTACACTTGCTCCATCAGGAACTTAATGTTTCAGTTCCTCTGCAACTCTCTTTCCCCCCACCCACCACCACCACTTTGGTGAGGGGAGGCAGGGAGACACACAATAACACCACCGGTTCCATGGTACAGTAGTAGAGGCAGCAAAAATATGACCCGAGGTGAAGCAACAGAAGACATTATATATTTGACCATAAACTGAAGCAGACAACAGTGTGTGGAGAGGACTCCTTGGTTCATGAGATAGAACGTCATGGCGCCTTATCAAGCAAGAGGTTTTTTGGGGGCGGTGGACATCATTAAATCAGGGATACACATGAGCTCATTATAATACATGTACGTCTAAACTTAGAAAACATGCAGTAGAGAGCATTTCCTATAAACTGCATCTCATTTTAAAGTACTGTACATATGCAAACATTTAAGAAAACCAGATAAATCTTTTTATGTATACCAGAGCTGTATCACACTTTTATGCATGCAAAGATCTCCATGAAAACTAAAGGTTGGGGCGAGCTCGTCTGTACAGTGTAGTTCTCTTACTCCATGCATGTCTGGCTGAGAGGTAACTCTTAACGTGACATTTTAACTCTCGCTGGTTGCTCAACAATTACACAAAAAGCAAATTTCTCGGAAGAGTTGGCTACAATCTTCTTTCTAAATCCACAAATATTTTCTTATACTTTCTCCCACAACTAAACTTTCAAACAAATTTCCCTCTAAATCTACCTTTCATAGCCAATGAGTCAGAAAAAATGATCCATAATGTTTCAACTCTTAATCTGAAAAGGAAAACTGGATGCAACGATTAACTTTCATGGCAAAATGCCAATTAATGAGTGATACTTACCATATCAATAATTATTTTTTCTATTATTTTTCTATTGCTTAATTAGCAGTAACCACATTTATTGGTGACCATACTGGGGAGAAGGACACTTATGGCATATCCGTATTAAAAAAAAAGTTCCAGGATTATTTCAAATGACCTTTGACCTTCTGCATATCAATTAACATTCACCTTTACGATGCTCTTGGTGATCAACTATGCTTTCTTCAATTTTAGTCGAGAACAAGTACAAAAAAAAAAATTTGCATAAAAATTTCCTCTCTGCCCAAAAGCAGCTGCTACAGTCATTACAGCAAATCAATATAAAATTCATAATAAAACAAAAAGACCTTTTAAACTGAAAAATCAATAAGTGGATTAATCTATATGTTGTACTTACCTGAGTCTCCTCTTGCAGCTGTGTCTGAAGAAATAAAATGTTTAGCAGTAGGAACAAGACAGCACCGCTAGACACCCATGCTCATCATTTACACATTGTTCACATTATCTATTTATTACTAGCATTACCTGTACATAAATTCCACTTTATTAATCAACTGAAGTATGAACAAGCATCATATTTAATTTAGGGATGATCACTGTGATGTCATTTGTTGTGTACTGTACAATATCTCACGGGACAAACATGCAATTAATTAAATCTAGTAATATACACCTATAAGGCACAGTATTTTTCTTGGCGATTATAATTTAAATGCAAAATCTTCTTCAGGAGATGTGATCTTCAATTTTCCTAAGATGAAGATAAGCAAGAAACACTACAATTTCAGTAGAAAGAAAAATACAAATACCCTGTACAATACAGTACAGTACTGTACAGTCACACTGAAAAGTTTGCAACCTCGGCAGTCAAACTGCGCCACTGGAGCGAACTACCGAACCATGGGAGTTTCTGGCTCAGTTTTTATATTCAACCATGAGGTATTATTTTACAAGTTGACTCAAAAAAAATTGCAAATGAATAGTTGCTATAGGTAGATCTCACCCATATCCATCACTCTTTCTTATGGCTTTTGTATTGAAAATTACACGTTAGCGAGTTATTTAACATTTTTGGTATGTGGGAGTTCAGGCTAGCGCAAGACATCCTGTCCGTCTTATTGAGCCAATGAACAAGCTTGATTCTTAACTTTTGGGAATATTTCATGCATGTATGGGTGTAGGTGGTGTTAGTGGTCAAATTTGAATCATAATCAAAATGGCTCTTGTGTGTGATGTGTGTGATCTTAAGCTACTCGGTCTCCCAACAACCCTCAACCTGGTCATTCATAACCAGAGCATTCTTCTCATTCCAAATAAGGTAAGAAAACCAAGTGTCCACAACAGGTGCCGGCTCACCAAGTTTGTTGGGAGGAGGTGTAATAATTCAAGAATGGCTCATTTCCGATAAAAATCATGGTCAAAATCCTTCGAAACACATCAGAACTCATTAGTAAAACATTGGGTAATGTCCGAGAACAACACTACCACCAGAAGAAATTGTTAGACTTCATTTTCGCCACATATGTTCGGTAAATTTGCACCGTCACACCACACTGTTAGAAAGTCAAAAATATATTTTTCTAGTGTATTTGTGTGTGTTTAGACCAAATATGACCTTCATTTCCGGCGGAAATTAGCCGGGGTTTTTTATCGAATTTTTTTCGTTGGACATTTAACAAAAAAAAAATCGTGGCAAAATACACCAAAAAACACTAAAAAACCAAAAACCAAACCTAACTGACTCTCACCATATGATGGAATCACCTATTTCTTACCTTATTGGCCTGGTTCTTGTTCGTTGTTGGATTCGGAGATTCTTACACAACGTTACATATGTTGGTCTTTGCAATATTTAAATTCAGTCTTGCTCTTAGTACACTTTACTGAGGTTGGAAGAACACCATGCGATCGAAAAAATGCTAAAGTTTCTTTGTTTTTTTCCCCGAAACTCGCAATCAGCTCCATATAATTTAAGTGACACGCATCGCAGACTTCCACGGTCGGAACTGAATTTGAATTTTGAAATATGAGACCCAAAATAAAACTCGAATTTGAGAGGGCCAAAAATACCACGAATTAAACCCAAAATCATTTTAATTGGTTGCAAAAACAAAAACGCTTTTGATTGGCCGCGTGACGTGTATGGGAACGCATGCGCATGATGATTTATGAAGGAGACACGCAGTGTGGGAGGTGAGGCAGGTGATAACGGAGCATGATTAATGGAAAAAAAATAAGAGAACATTTTGGATACGCTTTCTCCGATAATATACAATTCCACCGGTAATGTAATAGATGAAAATTATCTTATAATTAGACGTCTCATTTGAATATGATAATAGATTAGTGGTAGGAATGTGTGGTGTATAAATACAAAAATACCAGATGTACTTTGGAAGATAGTAATAAAATGATAGGACAGTGCACAGAACCTAACCTAACCAACCAATGAAACCTAATTAACCTTACCCAACTTCATAGCCGGAGGACGGATCCCCAGTCATATTAAACAGAAAGTACAGTACTTATTTTGATATCTGGTACCAATGAGAGCAACTTTGTTGAAGTGTCATGGTGTAATTTTAGGTTTTAGTGGACGTAAGAGTACTGAGTTGGTCGGTTCTATAGACAGACGACATGCAGTGACTCGACAGATTTTTCGGAGAGTATTTACGGTAAATAATTAATTTCTTCACATACAAAGCACAGTGCACATCACTTTACTGTCACATGATCAGTTTTTCACCGTGTTTTACCCACCAACTACCCTCATCCTTCATGCCCTGCCCGATACAGGTAATTTATGATCGTAGACTGAGAAAAACTACAAATAATTATAATTAAAATAAAAATCTGTCAACTCTTTTTAAAATACTATAATCATACGAACGAAATTGAACTTATGGATGTAGTGCTGTTCTCAGACATTACCATTGTTTAAACCTTAAAATAGCTGAGAGTCCACTTATAAAACTTTACCCCGTATTAAACTACATCTTTACAGCAAATAATAAGATAAAATCAACCGAGATAATGTACAGCACAATAAATAACATCAACATTTACCAACAAGGCGGCGGTCGGGTGTCATGTACATCACTTTACTTCATTGTCAATACAGTACAATGATCATAATAATAGATAAACTTTCCGTGGTGAAGCTCAAGGACTTAACTTCGTCAAAATACAATGATTTCTTGTTCCAACTTAACATGCGACGCAGAACAGTACTGTATACATTTCCTCCCGAGAGTAATCTGCCCCTGCATCACGAGTCTTCCTTACCCACTCTTATCCTTACCTCCATTTTGATGGTGTCAGTGTCACTTGTGTGTCACGGAGAAAATACAAGGAAAGTACGAAGGCTCTCCTGTAGCTCAGTGACCAGGGTTGAGTAGTTCTTTTACTTGTGGTGACCAGAGAGAAGAGGGCGTTGAAGCAGTGTTACCAAGGAGTGTACACCGCTATACTTAGCTCTCCCAGGTCCTCACCAAATGAATTGATAGATATTCATTCATTAAAATAGTCTTACAAGTTCACAGAATAATGTACATGTATTCATCAATTTAGAAAAATAGTCGACGTAAGCGTATTGCAACCTTACTTGTAACTGTAGATGAATTAAAGCATTCATAATTTCACATTAAACTTCTCATGAAAACCAAAAATTCCCCAAAATAACCCAAGGTTTGTGAAGGGGGATAATCCCTAAATGATACTTATTTATTTTGGGAAAACATTTAAATCTATTTCCTCATTTTGAAAAGAATATGGGATCCGCTACTGCAAGTGTCTTAAATTTAAGATGTTGCTACACACACCTATCGTAATCCATCTTTGCTAAAAAGCTGGATATGCTGCATACAGCTTTCATCTTTTTACTTTTACATTTCTAACAAGAACCATAAACCACCTGGATCTAAATAACCTATGCTAATGATTTCAAGTTGATTTCATAGTGCATTTATGCACTTTATCATTTGGTACATCGATAATATTAGATGAAGACTCTGAAGAGGCATCCAAGAATCTGGGATATGTGAATTACCATTAATAAGTAAACATTAACTAATCAGCACATGCACACCTGGTGCACAGGTGTCCGCCCTTACTCTCCCACCTTAGTTACTATTGACTGGACCTGGGCACCAACTACATACAGTATGTGACAGTTACATAAGGGTACATAACTGTAAATATTTGTACTTCCCTATAACGATATCTACTTGTTATCTAATATCTAAAGTCTACCAAGTGCACTGTGTGTGATAAAAAAATGGTAAAAATATACTCGCACATATATTGTCCTTTGACCAGATACGAAGAAAAAAATCGAAAACACGGCTGGTAATGTAGGGGTGAAATAAATAACTGTTGGGAACTTGCGAGTTACCTTCAACTTTATCATAGCTGTGAACACAAAAGCAGGAGCTGTGAATCCAGTATACCATGTTTTAGCAATAACATATAAAAATCAAATATTACTATACTCTTTAAATTACATTATAAAATTATTGGGACTTATAGAAACAGTGTAGATAGATAGATAGATAGATAATAAGCAATTTTAGGCTGAAAATCAAACTGGAAGGGTACGTAATTCGGGGAAATGTACATTACATATGTCCTAACAGGATGAAGAAACTGCACTACTTGAGACTGAATGTGAGAAGGACCTAGGTGTGTATGTTGACAATGAGTTGAAGTTCTCGGGCCATTGCGAGAAGAAGGTAAATCAGGCAAATAAATTATTAGGTCTTATAAGAAGATATACTAGGGACTGTCAGTTGATTGAAAATGTTCAAAAGAGGGCCACCAGACTGGTGCCTGCACTTGGGTACCTCAACTACCCTCCTTATGCTCCAGAAGAGATTTCGTTCCTCTCCCTTATTAATACCTATCGTAGGAATAAGGTATAGAACGAACACTATCACAACTTTCTTCTTTTAACACATAAGTATATCGTCAACGAGTACTAATTGCGGTCCGTAAACATTAATGTTTCTGCGTCAATAGGCACGGAAACACAAGTTTCGAATTTTTTACTGCAGTGTAGCACTATCGCATAGGATATCTTTCAGGTTTCTGCACGCTAATGATTATATTTTACTTTAACCTTTCCGCTGCTAATCGGCCGCTTGGACGGTCAGTCATTGTCACACACCGATGGCTAGTACTGGCTCTAAATTCTAGAGTCTAGAATGTACTGTACCTGAAACCTGTTTCAGTGTTGATCAAGTCTAGTGAGTCTTATGCAGTACGAGCTCACACTCGGTGTAGTAACAGCACTCTCTGGCAGGCTATTCCAAGAGTTTACAGCTCTTCCAAAAAAGTTTGCCCTAACATTTTGCTGTACTTATGGCTTCTTTAACCTGAGGTTGTGACCTGGGCTTCTGCCAGTTCCAGGTAAGAATACTCGACTGAGTAATGCCTTTTGAGGTGTTTTTAAACTTCATTTAAATCACCCCTTGCCTGTCTATAATATAGTAAGCTAGGCAACTGCAATTGTTCTAATCTTCCTTGATACCTGAGATGATGGAGTGCAGGCACTAGTTTTGGGACCCTCCTTTGCACGTTCTGAATCAACTATCAATCTATATAGCATACATAGGTATCTCTGAACCAGACGGAATGACAGTATACTCTACACCAAGCAGGGGATCACCTCACTTTTGGAGAACGTTATCATGGGGCAGACCATAGGAATGCAAACGAATTTGTAATTTACTAATGTTTTTTTTTTCTTCATAATTTTCACCATTTAGCAGCTTACCAGCCGTTTGGACGGTTGGTTTATCCAGTGTTAGCACATGGAGGAGGAAACAAGAGTCGGGAAACGTGTAATGTTTGGTGGTGTCACAGTGCAGTAGATAACACCCTTCTCACGAGTGTCCTCGCGAGAGTTTTATATCAGGGGTTATATCCTGTCTTGCGAGATATACTGGAAATACCAGTATACGTCGTGTGAATTATGTACTGTAGTCTTGTTCTCAGTTTGCCGCCGTCTTGGATTTAATAATTCTAATTAATTTATTGACTAAAAATCCATGCTTGACGAGTGAACGTGCCAATACTTGACCATCATTAGTATTATTCAAGTACAATACATTCAACATCCTTTGCCACTAACAAGTCCTGGGCACGCACTGTTGACAGGTCAGCAGTGCGTGCAGAACTAAGCGAGACCGAATATGTTGTAAACAACATTAGGTTATTTTTTGTTGTCCTTGATGAAAGTACCCAGATGGGGAGCAACCAGACTGTCCAAGATGATGTTTTGGACTGTCCAAATATAGTACAGGAAATGTGTTAGGTTTTATTCACATGTATGACATAATGTTGACGTGCCTGTGTCTCTTTATCTATGTATATGCTTGTTATTGTTAATACTTCTTTATAACGATTCAGCGAAGAACATTAACAATAAGGATCTCTTGTTCATTACAGTACTGCAGATGTGCAATTTTTTTTAGTATTTGTTATGTATAACTGTGCCTGTTTAATAAACGTATTATAGAACAAAATTAATGTTTTTAACATAATAAAAATTTTCATTTAAGATAATTAATTTACTATTTTTTTTTAGTATTCATAGTATTTATCAGCTTCAGCGAAACTGGAGTTCATGAAATGGGCGTAGATAGATCACCTTATGTACACCAGCGGTTAAGTTTTAAAGTTTTCTTGGGCTATCCTTAAGTTGATTCACTGATTACCATTATTTATATGCCTACACTATACTGTATGTAATATGTCTGTATTCCTGCACTGTATGTACAATATTTGGAATCACCTGAATATACGACACCCCCAACCTATTTTACCTTTAAACTAACCTTCCTAATCAAACCCCCAGGTAGAGTTAGGATGGTTAATCTTCAAGTGAAATAAGTTGGGGTGTTTAATCTAAAGGCGACCCCAATATGTGTATGTCTGAACTGTCTTAGTACAATTATGACTACACAATGCACTGTGCAATGTTTGAATACCTTCAATATATTTAGCTGCCTATTTCAGTCTGCAACTACAATAGGTCCTTATCTAAAAATTTAGAGTAGTGTTGTGGGGTTGTGAGATATTTGGTTCACACTCAGGATGGGAGGGAGAAAGGAAACTCACAATGTGCTCTCTGTATACATGTTGTATTGGATGTGCAGTGCAGCTTGGTGCTGGGAAGGCAGCGTGGTTACAAGCGTTGAGTAGAGAGAGCTGGTTGGTGAGGGTGCTCAGAGGAGGACCAGCTTGTGGGTCGCCATGCTCGCCGGCGGGAGCGAGGGCCGCCAGGCAGGAGGAGGAGGAGGTGTTGCTTGCTGGTTGGTGTTGGTAGAAAGAGAGGTAGGTCACCACGAGGTCAGGTCTTATATAGCGGAGGTAGGCGTGGCTTAATAGTTGACCTCCGTCATGAAAGGCGGCGCTGGTTGACCCAGACCACGAGGCATGCACTGGGGAATTCGCGGGGTCGGCTACTCAGCGACAAACAGCGTTTGTAGGGGAGGAATCCACTACAGTGTTACAGAAGACACTGAAATTTTGTGCTACAAATACTTTGCATATTGCATACTAGCATTTCGTATTGTGTAGTGAATCACAATTGCGTCTATAGTTATGATCAGTTATAAATTTACATAGTAAAGTAACAAAATTAAATGAAAATTGATATGAAATGTCAAACGAACTTATCCTAGAATGGCAGCAATAAGTGTCAACTTTTTCATGTTCAGATTGGCGTATGTTCATGTACTTTTATGAACCAATTCATGTTTAGTAACTGTTAAGTATTAACGATGAGAGTTTAAGGAATAAACAATTGTTTGACCTGCGAGTAAACTGACAAGTGACGAAGGCGTTAAGTAAAGTAAGTAATATCCTGGAACCTTCGACAAATAGCTATGGACGTCAAGGATAGCTGTAGTTACCCTCGAAGGCCAAGAGAAAACGTGCATGTTTGAGCGTCTGGTGATGCTCAGCTGTTTATAGTTCCGTCGACAGGATGGTCCAAAATGGCAGCAAATCTCCATCCTGAGGAAGAATTGGTAAGTACCTCACATCTCTTGGAACCATGTGAAGGATGTATGAGCATAACAATGGTTATTTGAGGTCAAGAGATGGATAGGAGGGTCAAGGGGAGGGCGCGAGGGAGGACACGGACCAAGGTGGCTGGTGGTCTGATCGCTCTGGGGCTTCTTCCATGGTATTATTGAGCCGAATTTTGTCAAACTAATGTCATCTCGCTGTCAGACAGGACCTGTCATCCGCTCGGTAGTTATTGTCATACACACAGTGTATAAAATCTTCGAGAATAAGGATATTTGTTTAGTTAAAAGTGAGTTAAAGCCGTGTTGAATAAACCCCTTCAACTTGTTGCTATGATGCTCTGTTGCCAGTTGCAGAGGTGTTGGTTATGTCTGCGAGGAGGAGGAGGAGGTCAGTGTTATCACCTGTCTTGCCTCTCATCACATTATTTA